GAAAAGGCTAGTAGTAAGTAGAAGATAGAGAAATTATATGATAAGAAAAGAATAGGAAAGATAGTATTTTAGAGTTGGAAGAAAGAACAAGGATCTAGATAAATGTACTGAAGTCTTGCTATGTTATTTAAAGTTTCTGCTGTAGAACTCACTGCCTATGGCAAAGATATTATAAAAACATCCTTTTGGTCATAATTTCATGTAATGTGATTTACAAATTATTCACAAATGCAAGATGGAATCTACATGATACTACTTTATACTGTGTAGGAAGCAATATATCATCATATTCTAGCATCTTTTGAAAGTGAAATAACATCTGATCTGTGTCATAAAAGGTTGAAGTAAACTTTGATACAAAAAATTGAAGGCAGACTGAAATTTACTACAGTTAGATACTAAGAGAATCTGTGGTAGAAAAAGCTTGGAACGAATAGTATAGAAACTTAGAAGTTTAATTTTTGGAGGGGAGATTTGAAAACACGCTCTCTGAAGAATTGTATTTGGAGAAAGTGCTTTTTTATTTCTAATAAGTGATTCATTCTAGAATTTCTGTTTAACTTTCAAGAGTGAAATTATAATTTCTTTAGGTATGTAAAGTGGTAAATTTAACATAAGTTAAAACCAGGTTCTTAGGTTTGAAAATTCATTATTCAGATTATCTTGTCAGAGCTAATATTTGAAATTTGTGATATTTATGACTTTTCCAATTAAAAGCCTTATTTAAGTACAAGTTCAAATAACATAACTTTGAAATTTGGAAAAGGATGAACAGTTGATCTGTGGTGCTCATGTTTTATAAATTCACTTCAAACACTGAATAAGCAAACACTGAACTATTGCTCCTTGGGGAAATACAGCGCTAGGTTTCCTGCTGGCCTTTGGTCACAACATTTGCTTTAGCACTTTCTGAGCTGGTTTCATGTACAGATTTGGGAATTTCCTCTGCCTTTTTCTGGATGAACCTTGTTGATTCATTCAATATTGAACTCATGGCCAATAGTACTCATACCTGAGCAAAGCTTATCTAACCCATTTTCTCTATAAGATGTATCACATTGTGCTAGACAGCACTTCACTATACTTGGCGGCCATTTTAAACACTGAAATCACCAGTAAAAACAACAACAATAACAAAAACAACAGAAAAAGATGAAAAAGATGGCACTAAATAGACTGTGAAAAGGACACATTTATAGTATGATAGCTGAAACAATAAGGCAGAGTGTGGCTTTCAACTTCAGCAGGACAACTTACCTTTTTTTGCTGTTCTGTGCATGTCGATCTTAGGGTTAAAAATAAAACAATAAATTTTATTACTGAATGTGTAAACCACAGATAATGAGTGGATTGAACCATTTGTATTGTTGTGATACAAATCCAGCGTGCTCCTAGGAAAGAGAGTTGCAGAGAGGGAACAAGTATTTATTAAGCACTTCTTATGTGCCAGGCACTGTGCTAAGTGCTTTACAAATGTGAGATAGGTGCTGTTACTGTCCTCAGTTTACATTTAAGGAAACTGAGGAAAACAGAAATAAGTGTCTGACACTGCATTTGAACTTAGTTCTTCCTGACTGTAGACCCAGTGTTCTATCCACTGCGTTACCTAGTGGCCAGTATTGATGGAAATTAAACTGTAAAGTCACTTAATCTTTAGAATATGGCTTTATGGGATTCAAGAGGATTTTATAAAATGTATTTTCAAGAGAATAGCTTGAGGATTCAGTAAGTATTTGGAAGATATTAAGCAATTCAACTATGAGATAGATCAGATACTTCAAAAATTAAATCTTTTTAGTATCCCATTTCTGTCCTTGGCTCCTGAAAAGTTAAGTTGTTCCTTTTGCTAGTTGTGTCTCATCTCTTCCTCATGTTGAAGCTTAGAGAATTGGAAATATTCAGAGTACACACTTTTTCTTTGGTTGAACATGAATACACTTGCCATTGTTAACAGCTTGCTTTTGTTAACTTTATAGTGAAATGCTAGTAAAGGTGATTAGACTATTCCCAACAAAAATGTTACATGAGTTTTTCATTTTCTTTGTGTTCACAAGGCCAAGGATCGTGCTCCTTCCCTTACGTGTCTCCCCCACCACTCCCATTTTTGGTTCTCTAAATGCTTTTGTGTTTTTCAGATGCTTTTGGTTAATATGTAAAATCTGTCAGTCATACATAATTTTGACTGGGTTTTTGCTAAGGTTTTCTTAGGTTGTTGACAGTTGGAGGGCTGCCCATTGAACATATTTTCCTGTGTTTTTCTTGTGATTTGAAAAGAAATATTTTCTTTTCATTGTTACAGAATAAGCGTGATAAATAAGCTAGTTGTGACTGTGAATAACTGATTTTTTAATATATTTATTCACCTTCACAAGAAGTCAATAACAAAAGAAACAAAGTGCAAACATACTTTTTCTACATTGTCTATTGCATTTGTATCTACCACCATATCCACCAGTTTGGATTACTTTGTATACTTTTTCATTTTTCCATATATTTTGCCACTTTTTTCCACATTTATTTTTCAGGAAATTTCTGCTACAATTTTACACTAATGGTTTATTGTAGTATGGAACTGACCCTCTGTTCTGAAAGGCTTCTCTTAATGCCAGAGGAGCATAAGTCCTGGCAGGCCTTGCTCAGCCAGAAAGATTCCCTGGGGCCCCTGGAAACAGTCTGTTTTAGGAAAATCAGTTTAGCTGAGGCTGGAGATGTATATCACCGGATTGGCCAGGATGCCTTTATCAGTCACAGAACCCCTCAGAAGCTACCTCCTCAGCTGAAAAAGATAAGCTGTATTGGTAGAGGTAGGGCCCACTTGAGAAAATTAGAGCTCACCTTCATGCACACAAGCAATGGTAATGTAATACTCCATTACATTAAAGTCCTTAGTTATCTTAGCTTTCACCCAGTCATTGAGCATTAAAGATTGGAGTTTGACTGTTATTAGATGTGCAGCTATGAGCATCTTTGTACGAATGATTTTTTTTCTTTTGAATTATTTCCTTGGGAAATATTCCCAGTGGTGAGATCACTAGGTCATTGTTATGTATTGCCAAGAACAGTTGATAATATTTTAGTAGTATTAGTTAAATGCCAGCAGTGTTTGGTCCAGCATGAGAAAAGAACTAGAAGAGAAGTGCACTTGGGAGTTGGGGACTATTCTGTGAGAATTGGAGCAGACGTCAGGCAACACATGTATTAATAAGTGCTTACTGTGTGCCAGGCACTGAACTAAATACTGGGGATCATAGAGAAAGGCAAAGCCTGTTCCTGCCCTCCAGGAGCTCACATTTTAACGAGGGCAGCAACATGTAGATAACTAGGTACAAGATATAGATAGACAGATATGAAGAGAGAGGGGGGATGAGGCAATCAGAAGGTGGGATCTGAGCTGAAGCAGTCAAGGCAGAGGTAATGAGGGAGTATAATCCATAGACATAGATTGGGAAGGCAAGACCAGAGTGTTATGTTTGAGGAGTAAATAAGTGGCCATTATAGCTGGATGGTGGAATGCGTGAGAGGAATGAAGTATAAAAAGTAGGAAGGGGACAGGTTGTGAAAAGCCGTTTAACAAGGGTATGAGAGAGCGATTAACTTAAATAATTTTTTAAAGGAATTTAAGGCTTAAAATCAGGATGACTTCTAAGATTCTTTCCATCCTTGAAGTCCTGTGATTTCAGTATTATCAGATTATTATGAGTCTCAGCAGTTGCATTGCTATGTTTCAGCAGTTGCATTGCTATGTTACAGCAGTGCTGTTTTTGTTTTTAGCATGGTGATAATTTGAAAAGTGGTGCAGGGAACAATGAGGAAATACCTAGGGCATTTTGTCCTAGTCATTTCTTGAACTTGACAGATATGCCCCCTAGGTGGCCAAAGAAATGCTTTGGCTAGCTACACTCCTCTGGAGAATCTTACAAGACCCCTCTTTTTTTAAAATTTGGTTTTGAAATTAGGAACCAGTGCTCTATAGCTATGTACTGTCTTCTCTGTCTTTTTCCCTCCTTTGTTTTGTTTTTCTTTCCTTAAAGGCTTAAAAAATGTCTTCTGAATTTTGGGACTGGTTCCCTTTTAAGTGCTGACTTATTAATGTTCAGCGTAGCATTTTACTGGGGAAAATGAAGTGGTAAAGGTTGTGAGGATGGGGAGGAAGAATGGGATGCTTTTGTGGCAATTAAAAAAATTTCCAGAGATAAGGTTTTTGGGTAAATTATAAATCAGTCAAGGCCAGCATATGATTGACAAAACAAAAAAGGCTCCTTATTCTCTCATTCTTTCAAGAGACCTTTGGCTGCCTTTGGACAATAGGTGTTCTATCAAACAACAGTAGATTGTAATTGGTTAACAGTTTAATTAGAAGTGAGCTTTACAAAGAGAAGTGTGTTTATACTCCAGTGAGAGTTTGAGAGAGCTATCAAGTCACTCTTGGATAGAGAGACTATCCCCCCAGAGATGGGAACCTGCGGCCTTGAGGCCACATGTGGCCCTCTAGGTCCTCAAGTGCGGCCCTTTGACTGAATCCAAACTTCACAGAATAATATTCTTAATAAAAGGATTTGTTCTGTAAAATTCGGACTCAGTCAAGAGGCTTCACCCAAGGACCTAGAAGGCTGCTTATGACCTCAAGGCCACAGGTTTCCCATCCTGGCCCCAGACTTTGGGCAGTCTGGACAAAAGGATCTCTCTATCCAAGCTTCATTGAATGGAATTTACCCAAGACTAGAGATTCCTTTTAAGGCTGGGTGGGCTTGGGTAGAGAAATTTAGCTAGACCTTCAGAGACTAAGGTCTTGAAGTCAGGATAGAGAAAAGGAGTAACTCCGAATCTTCTCCAAATCATTAGTTACTAATAATCATTTCTCTCACTTTTAACTTGTCATTTTTTATAGCTGATACCATTCATTAGAAGATTTTGAGAATCATTAATGCTTGAGAAATTACCCAAGATGAGTCAAAATTGAGAACACTAAGTGATTTTTCTCCCTTTGCCTTATTTTCCAGATTGTTCTGAGTACTTCATTGCTATACTTAGGTATTAGCTCGTACATATATGTACAGATCTGTGTTTTAAAATGGCAGAGGGAGGTGGCAATGAAGAGGTGATTCACTTGAACAGCTTTCATGGTCACAGGGGGAAAGGTAAGTTATTTGGCTTCTTACTATTTCTCTTTCCTTCTATTTTCCTTTAGCCTAACGTTGTTACAAGAAATTTGTTGTTATACATTTTGTAATATTTAGAACTTAACAGCATTGATAAATAGGGCACTAATGTAGTTTTTTAAAAGCAAGAGTCCTCATCCTTAAGGACTTTTCAGACTAGATTATTAATGGCATATGGCAATGAATCATTTGATCTATGTCATACACAAAGACAAAAAAAGGAATTTTGAATGTGTGAAGCAGTAGACTGCAGATGAAGAATTAAGGGCAAAGGAATAGATTTAAAAGGAATAATAATAATAACAACAATAAGTTTCTATGGGAATTTATAGTTTACAAAGAACTTTCTGTATAAAACTACAGGGTAGATAGTGTAAGTGTTTTATAATCCCTGTTTAAAAGCTGAAACTACAGGAAGTTGGGTAATTTGTCCAAGGTCAGGTAGCTGGTAAGTGTCAGAATGTAGTGAGAAGACACTAACAGAGCAGGAGCCTTCCAGTCTTACTCTCTGTAAGTAAGCTCTAGAAAGTGCTGGTACAAAACATACCTTTGGCCTTTTCATTGTATTAATTGTTTACTTAACAGACAGTACCAGTTTAGGAATTTTTCTTTGGGGAAAAAATTTGGTTTGGATTTATAATGAAGTAATTAGCATTTGCTTTATAGAAATTTGTAACCAACTTCTCTGGAAAGTATATAATTCTATAAATTGATCAATATGTGCATTTCTTTTAAAACTAAAAATAATAATTTGTATAAATATGCATTAACTTTTGCTGTCTAATCATAATTTAAACTTCGTTAGACCTGAAGAAATAATCTGTGCCTGTCAGTACTGGATATATGCATTTTATTGCCCATATAAACATTCTGTGAGGAGGGGTAATGGTTTTTTCCCTGGTACATTTTGTGCTCCTGTCTCGTTTTTCTTTGTTGATTTTACAAACATTTCCAATTTTGCAAGGTGTGAAAATGACTAGTTCATAAAAAACATAGATTTTAGTTTTTTATTAGTGTTCTAAAGTGGTTGCCAAATGTATCTTAAAAGTTTTAATATACTCAATTTTTGTTGTGACTTGTACTTAGTTTCCAACTTTTAAGGATATGTCATCACTCAAATTACATAGTAGTGTTTGGGTCAAGTCTTTAAGATTGTGGCTTCCAGACTAACGGACATTTTTAGAAACTTTTTTCATAAAATCATGGAATATCTAAGCCAAGTGTTAGAATAGAGTATATGTCTAATTTAAAAATTTTTTTGCCACAGCCTGGCTCATACTCTTCTTGTCCATCCAGCCTTATTTCACATTACTGCCCTAAATTCTAGCTAAAATGCACTTTGTTGGTTTTTCACCCTTCCAGCATTGCCTTATGCTGTCTCTCTCTCTCTCTGTCTCTCTCTGTCTTTCTCCCACCTTCTCCCCCTCTCCCTCTCTCTCTCCCTCTCATACACACTAGGAATGCACCTCCCTCCTAAGCTTCAAAGTCACTTTCTCCTCTCTACCTTCTAGAGTTATGTGCTCCTATAGGGCAGTGAAGCATTTCCTCTCCCTTACACACCTATTAAATCTTTCTTTGCTCAAATTAACATTGTATTTATCTGGTTACTCCCAATGGAATGCAAGATCCTTTAAGGCAAGAATTATTTCATTTTTATCTTTGAATTCCTAGAGCTTAACACCCTGTACTAGTCGGAACTTGTTTATCTGCCTAGACAGGTGCAGATTACTACTGTAGTATGTCAGGCACTGTGCTACTTACTTTTTATAATATTATCTTATTTTGTCATCATAACAATCCTGGGAGGTAGATACTATTATTTTCTCCATTTTTTTAGTTGAGGAATATGGGTCAGAAGTTAAATGACTTGTCCAAGGTCACACAGGTAGTAAGTATCTGAGGGCTGATTTGACCTTGTCTTCCTGACTCTAGGCCCAGCTCTCTCTGCTGCTGTGCTTCCTACCAGCCTCACAACATTCGCATGGGAGAAATAGGGTGTGAGAAATAATTAACTTATTTCTATTTTGCCCAGCAATAAAAAAATGTTAATTGAAGTTGAATACCTATGTATTTAGAATGAATAAAAGACAGTCATCACATTTATTCATCACATTTGTGGAATTGCCTTTTGCTTTAGGCATATATGTAGAAGAGACTTTCTAAAGTTGTTTTTAAAAGGAAAATGGATAATTTTAATTGCTTTTAATTTAGTGATAATATATTTTGAAAAGGTGGTTACCTAAAGGCAAGTAACTATGGTAGCTGGAGTTAAAATTTGATTTTTATGTTGGTAAAAATTGGGTAATTCAGAGTATCAGATAGACATTTTATTATATTGTTAAGTGAAAAAATTAATGGGTATTTTCAGGCATATAGAAATTTTTTACTCTCGAGGAAATCTTTTTAGTGTTTTTGTGTTTTTTTGTTTTTGGTTTTGGTTTTGGTTAGGCAATGGGGTTAAGTGAATTGCCCAGGGTCACACAGCTAGTAAATGTTATGTGTCTGAGGCCAGATTTGAACGCAGGTCCTGAATCCAGGGCCGGTGCTCTATCCACTGTACCACATAGCTGCCCTGAGGAAATATTTTTAACACTAAATTAGAATGTTTCATTTGTAAGAGTTTTATAAGCTGGAGGCTGATTTAACCCCACATTGCTCTTGTATTTCCCTAAACAAAGTTAAAACAATAGCTTTTTTTGGTTTTGTTTTGTTTTTGTGAGGCAGTTGGGGTTAAGTGACTTGCCCAGGGTCACACAGCTAGTGAGTGTTATGTGTCTGAGGCTGGATTTGAACTCAGGCCCACCTGACTCCAGGGCCTGTGCTCTATCCACTGTGTACCTAGCTGCCCCAATAGCTTATGTTTATGTAGCATTTTTTTCATTTCCAAATCCATTTTTCCATTATTTCATTTAATCTCATAACAACTCTGTGTAATTGCTAGGGCAGATTATTAATTTCTCATTGTATAGATGATGACAGTGAAGTGCAAAGGGATGGTGTACAAGACTCTGCAGATAGCTAGCAAGTGGTAGGTTGGTCCCACTAAGATGACTTCCTGAGCAAAGGCAGACTGCTTAACTTCTGCACAGCTGCTCTAGCTAATACCAGAAATTTGAACCAGACTGAATAATGATCAGAAAAAAAATCTAGTGAAGACACTACAGCAAATGACTTTTCATTTCCAGGAAATCCACAAAAAATAGGAAAGGGAATCGGCAGTAAAAACCAATACTAGTATGGACAAGCAAGCTTGGAACTTCCCAGAAGGAGCAGAGAAGGGCCAGAGACAGGAGTAGCCTGTAGGGATCTCTGACCAGCTTAGAGGAGAAAGTGATAAAACTAACCCAAGAAATGGGCTCCTTGAAAGTTAGAGTGAACCAAACAGAATTAAATGATTCTGTGAGACAACAAAAACAATATTAGGATAATAGCAAATAATTTTTTTAAAAAGGACAAAATATAATATCTGATATCAAGAACAACTGGCTTGAGAAACAGGTCAAGGAGACATAATTTAAGAATCATTGGACCCTCTGAAAACTATGCTTTAAAAAAAAGCCTTGACATTTTCAAAAAATCATAAATCAAAATTGCTCGTTCTTTTCACCTCCTGAAAGGAATTCCCCAAATTGAAAACTCAGGAATGGTGTAGCCAAAATTCAGAACTCCCACATCAAAGAACTTTCTCTCTCTCTCTCTCTCTCTCTCTCTCTCTCTCTCTCTCTCTCTCTCTCACACACACACACACACACACACACACAACACACAATTTGGTATAGAAATAAATCAAACTTAACAGAAGAACAAGTAGGAACAGGGGAGGTGGGATATTAAGAGAGAAAATAATGCTGGGGAGGTAATAGTCCCAAGCAGGACAAACTTTTTGATCCTGGAAAATGAAAAATAAAGCACCAGCATTTAAGGAAGTACCCATTGAATGAGGAATGGTTGAACAGAATGTAGTGGAATATCCTTGTTCCATAAGACAGAGTTCTGAAAGAGACACTTAGAGAGAATCCTGGGTAGTATAAAATGGATGCAGAGTTAAATGATGGCATCATTAAGGAAAAAAACTTCAATAGACTTGAGTAGACTCAAAGTGGAGAAAGACATCAATTTTTGGTCATGACTACTATGGTGGATTCTTTTTACTTGATTAAGCATATTTGTTACAAGGGTGTTTTTTTTTCTTAAATGACCTGAAAAGGACAGAAGTAAGCACATGCAAACAGAGGTGTCTTGAAAGTAATGTGTGCAAGTTATTATATATACTTTTAAAAAATGAAATGGAGAATAATGATTTTATATATTTAGTAAATGCTTTGCATTCTGCTCTGTATGTGGAAATGTTCTTTTGGTGTTCAAAAATAAATTAATAAAAATATTTTAAAAAGTGGTAGAGCAGAGTACCTGAGCTCAGCTTTCCTATATCCAGATCCATTCCACTTTCTCCAAAATCATGGTGCCTCTTGAAGCTGCGAACTTTGAGTAGTCAGTCAAACCTGTACCATAATTCTAAAAAGTCTCAGTAAAGCCTGGAATGGGATTATAGCTCTTAAAATTTGTATGTAATTCTTGAAAAGTATTCATGCTGAATAATTGCTGAAAATAAAACTTAAATTTTAAGGATATTTCAGCTCTTTTCAGACAGATTAAGATATTGATGAGCTGCTATAAACCCTTTTTATTTTTCAGTTGTTCTTGTCCTGTCTGACTCACGTCAGTTCTGCATGACCTCAGGTTTTCTTGGCAGAGACACTGGAGTAGGTTGCCATTTCCTTCTCCAGCTCATTTTATAGAGGAGGAACTGAGGCAAATGGGGTGAAATGACTTGCTCAGGGTCACAGGGCTAGTGGGTGAAGCTGAATTTAAGCTCTGGGAGACACCTTAGTAGCTTCTAGCTAACATTTTCTGCTTTTCTGTAGACAGGATAAGTCACAGAGATGAAGGACTCATCACCATATCAGACTCCTCAGATGAAGAACTTGCTCTTTTGCCAATCACACCAACTTCTCGACAGCATGAAAAAGAGGAGGTTGACTATGACTACGATGACGATGAGAAGGATGATGACAACGATGACGATGATGATGTTGTCATCTTGGCAGAAGTGAGTTTTCCTGAGAATAGAGTGGTGAGGTACTAATGCAGAGCAAATAGATGATGTATTTTATGAGCTGGGATGTTGCAGAAGAGAGAGCTGTGCTGAAAAAACCACCCAGTCTCTTAGCTAGTATTCTATTCCCTTTTTACACAAAGTAGAAATGATTTTAACTTTGTTTAAGTTTTGGAATGGATTGTAGGAACTCAAGTCTTTTCTAGCAGTTTTTATCATTCTGTTTTCTATGCATGATCTAGATTCATTTTAGCTCTGAAGAGGGCCAGATATAGTAGAATCATAGAAATAGGTCATAATTAGATATGTTTTGAGAAAACTTGTAACTGATGACCTATCAACTTTCTACCTACCAGCATCTGAAATAAACTTCTGATGAGCCTAATAATTAAACATGTTAGCATTAAAACCCTGCAGGACACTCTGATGGCTGATGCCAGAGGGGAGTTATTGATTCACTGACTTTATCCTTTCCACTTTTCCTAGGGAACATAATAGTATAGGTAAAGGCACAATCTTCCCAGTAGAATGTTTTTGTTCGTGAGGTGTCTAATGACTAAATGTCTGCTCTGATCCTTTTTTCTTATGTTTGTGATGAGGATCAGGTAAGATATGTGTTTTGATTAGAACTACATAAAGCTTAATCATGGCTCTCTGATACTCTCATATACTTTTTCCCCCTCTTCCTCTACATTGCTCAGCATGCATGTGTATGCGCACACACACACAGTTCTTCCAAGGCATTATAATTATGAGGCTATTAACCAGTCTGTTTTCTTATCTTTTTCCAATATGCTCCTTTCCCTTCCTGCCCAAAGTGACTCACCTATCTGCTTAAGCATTTCTTCCTTTTGTAAAGAAGAAATGCATTGTTCCTCATGGCTATATGTTATGAGCCTTACTCAGAGATTTCTTGAGGGCTGGTATTGTTTTTGCTTTTTTTCTTTGTATCCCTAGCATGTTTAGCTCAGTGCCTAGTACCTCATAAGCACTGAACAAATTTGATTTCAGTCTTCTTCGTAAGCTAAGCCTTACCACATAAGTAGATATCTAATGATTCTTTAGAAAAAGCTTTTTAAAGCTATATTTAAGTTTTTGAAATCGATTGGATTTCCAGTATGGTTCTGAAGATGAAAATGTACATTAAATTACAATTTTATAAGGAACTTTGGGAAGGTGCTCTGAGAGAAGGTTCAAAATTCTCTGCTTTGAATGAGGGGAGCAAAAATTCCCACTTGCTCAGTGAATTGCAGAATCCCTAGGAACTGAAAATGTCTCTCAGAATTCACCAGTGATTTCATCTTAATAGAAAGGGAAACATGGTCATCTTCAAAGAGGGTAAGGATTTTCATAGGCCCGTAGGATTGTAGATTTATGTCGTGGGGGGATAGCAGAGTTCATCTACAATGACTCTCATTTTATAGATGAGGTAACTGGCCTAGTTTGGGAATACAGAAATGGATGTTAGGATAACACTCAGGTTCTCTGACCTCCACTGTTATTTAGAGACAGTCTCCAGGATGTTGCTGGGTAGAAGCAATGCACAACACTAATACTCCATACTCTGGATTTATTTTCTTGTAAGATTTGATTGCCTCTTTTTGGAGGAATGAGACTTGTATTTTTAATTTTAATCAGTTTCATTTCAGAGGCTAAATTGTTTTAAAACATTCTAAGGTAATGTCATCAGAAGTTTTGAATTTTATTGATTAATTCCAATTTTATAAAACAGCTACCCTTATAGTAGTCAGATCCAGGAAAATATTTTATCAGTGTTTTTCATTTTTATTTTAGTGGTCTTCAGAGAGACTAAAACTAAAGTACTAGAGAAGTATCAAACTTTCATGAGATTATGGTATAAATCACTATAATTTATTACGATAATGCCTGATTTCTATGTTAAATTATGTCAGAAACAATTTACCTCACAATTTTAACCAAGTGTATAAGGATATGTAAATGTTAGCTTTACTAAATATGTTAAATATTTCTTTTTTTTTCTACTTTAGACAAATAAACCGCAACTATTGCGGCCTATTGTCAAACCTGCTGCCCAGTGGCAGGATCTGAATAGCCTGGGAGAAGGAGGGTCTAAAAAGAGCATGACTACATTTCTGCAAGAAAAGGATGGTCTTTTTTCAACAACAAATAATGAACCAAGTTTCAGTGAAAATGATAACAATAGAAACCAGGATCCTCAGTTGCCTGGCCCCTCTGAACGCAATAAGCATAGGGCCAAAAAAGACCGAAATCCCAAGCCTGGACCAAGTAGTATCCAAGCTGTTAAAGTAATTTTGAAACCCGATGTGAAAAAGGAAATAATCAATTTAGAAGAAGCTAGCTTTCAAAGCAAGCATCCGAATGGCCAAAACCAGTCAACTGAAGACTCTGAACCAGAGCATATACCAAACCTCCGAGAAACAGCTGCTGCAGTAGATGACCAGGTCATAAGAGAAAATAGTTGGTTAGATCATCCTTATTTCCAACCCATAGACCAAGAACTGAATGAGTTAGCAAATCAGGTTGTTCCACAGCAGGGGCAGCCCGAAGCAGACCTCTCATATCGAGATGAGATTCCAGGACCAGCTTTTCCAAGGCCAGAACCACAGCAGGATGGGATCCCAGGCCCTTCCTCTCCTCAGCCTGCCCATCCTCCTGGAGAACTTAAAGACCATCAGCTAGCAATAGATGATGAACAGCCTGGTCCAGCTTTCCCATTCCCCGGATCTCATCAGCCTGACTTGGGAAATGTTCCAGAACAAGGAGGCACTGGTGCAGATCAAGAATTTATTACACTACTCGTGAAAGAAACAGTAAGTCTTATTTCTTCTCTTCAGATTTATCAAGCAGTAGGGAAAACACTTTTTTTTCATTACTAAAATCTAGTTTGTATATTTAGTATGTGAATAGGAATACTTTCCATCAATATTTTCCAAAGAACCATGTCCAGATAGATGCCATAGGTTATTGGGCATATTGGCATGGTCATTTTACATATGAAAATTGAGTCAGAAGCTTTTTCTGTGTGCCTGTGCCCCTCTAAAGTACTAGAGTTGGAATAGCAGGAATTCAGGCTCCCTGAGGTAGCACTGGGCTGCTTGGATTGACAGGAGCCTTAGTTTTTTGTTTAATTTGTGCTTATTCCAAATGAAAACCCCAAACACACTGAGTTTTCTGTGATTTGTCAACACAATTTACAGGGTTTTTTTTTTTTACCATTTCTAATGAAAACACTTACAGGTGGTATAAAGAAAACAGCAATGTAGCATAGCTTGAAGAATATTGTACTCGGGATTAAGGAACCCCAGATTCTGTTTTTAGCTCTGCTAGTAATTTCATCTAGGACCTTGGTTTCACCTCCCTGAGCTTCAGTAAAGTGTAGGAATTGGACGTTTAGAGTCTCTTTCAGTCCTAACACTCTAGAATTCCATTCAAACAAAGGAGTCTGAACCCCAGTTACTGGCCTACTTTATAGAGGCCTTAAAGCCTCTTCCAGTGTGTGATGTAATGCAGTAGAAACCATAGTATTCAGAAAGATAATTAAAACAGCTGTATGTTTTTCCTAGGTTTTCTCCAGTTTTATAGTTAATGAAATGGAACTAATATGCTTATTCTTCTCTAGGAAGCAAGGTTTCCAGATGTAGCAAATGGTTATATTGAAGAAATAATACATTTGAAGAATTTTTATGATTTAAATGTGTAAGTATAGAACTTCAAACATATTTTTGTCATAGCAGGTAACTTTTATGTTTGTGTTTTAGAAAACATAACCGTAACAGCAAAATGATCTTGTTTTTTCCCCATTGTGTTTACATCTGGTAGTTTTGGAAGCACACATTCATATAGTTACAGTTCAAATTAGTAGCATCTTTTGGCACTTTCAGTTAATGTATTCTAGGCTTTCCCTTTTTCAGATGATGCTATTGCTAAATTTGGTTATACTTGTAATTTCATTTTTATTATAATTTGACATTTTATGCAATGTTTCAGCAAGATTTTTTTTTTAGTATCACTTTGCAAGAGATTAGACTTCAGCTATTATTCTTGTTCAGCATTTAGATGTTCTTTCTGTAGGTGTCAGTAGGACTTTAATACCTACCTTTGTTTCGGACTATATAGGTAAAAAGTCTTTTCTATTACTGTTTTTTTCCTGTCAGGAAGTAATCTCACTTATATTGAGAAGATATTGGAAACATTTGCAAAGAGATATGCTTGAATGATTAATTTGGTATTTGATTGGAATATTATAGCATTTTGTGGAGTTATATCTATTTATATCTGTTTACTCATGTAAAATAACAAGCAGCCGAAATTGAACAGGCTCGAAGCCTTTGGGATTTATTCGTTCCCTCATTGTTTCTACCCTTTGAATTAACACTGCCCAACCTAAAGGGTCATGTCCATAAAATACTGTAACTCACTTTTTTTAAAAATTAGAATTTTTGGAAACTTTTTATTTGGATATTAAAAGTATTAGCTAAAAAGAGCACTTCCATATACATAGTAAAACATAAAAGAAATATTGAATGAATCTCTTTCTTTTCTTTTTAAATATAAGATGTTCCAGAAGCCTTAGTGCAATTTTAAGCTACTAAAATTGCTGTAGGATTTTTTGGACAACTTGTATATATAAATTCAACATAAAGCTTTCAGAGTTTTGTTTTTTCTGTGAGTTCTTCTGACTTCTGTTGTGTGAATTTTTAATAAATTCTTCAATACCATTCTTTTTTTTTCTTTTTTGACAACTATCCCTAGCTTCCCCTCTCATTTCCAACTCCTCAGAGCCCTACTGGAAAAAAAAATCAAAATCTTTGTAATAAATATGCCTACTCAAGGAAAACAAGTTCCGTATTGGCTAAATTGCTGTGTTTAAAACGTATGTCATATTCTGTACCTTGGGTCCAGTTTCTATATCTAAAATAACTAAAAGAGGAAGTGCCAAGTTTCATTTTAGATTAAAATTTGATATAAACTTTTATCTCATAAATAAAAAAATTCGTGAAAAATCCTTAGGATTAGATATTTAAGGGCAGGTAGGTGGCGCAGTGGATAGAGTACTGGCCCTAAAGTCAGGAGGAATGGAGTTCAAATCTGGCCTCAGACCAAACACTTCACACTTACTAGCTGTGTGACCCTGGGCAAGTCACTTAACCCCAGTTGCCCCCCCCAAAAAAAGGATTAGATATTTACATCTAACTCTAGCTTAGAAGCTCACTTAATTAATTAGACTTATAATAGTGAAGTGTGTGATTAAGTTAGGTAGATTTTTCTAGAATTCTTTATTTCCTGTTGAGTTGTATACAATGCACTTAACTAGTATCACCTTTTACCCATGCTAGATATCTGCGTTTCTTTATCACAAGATAGTAGAATCCAAGCTTCTACTAGAAGCAGTTAGATGCTATTGTCCCACAAATAACAATCTCCATTAACATCTGGATAAAGGAGGATTTTTTTTCTTTTTTTGGTGAGGCAATCAGGGTTAAGTGACTTGCCCAGGGTCACACAGCTAGTAAATGTCAAGTGTCTGAGGCCAGATTTGAACTCGGGTCCTCCTGATTCCAAGGCCAGAGCTCTATCTACTGTGCCACTTAGCTGCTTCTAAAAGGAGGATTTCTTATAGGCTTCTAGCCAGCTTTGATTTCCTTTTGATTTTATCCCTAGATTCGTGGGACAAATTTAATTCTCACAAATAATCTAACCAACGATAATATAATGCATCTCCAAGATAAATAAAAAGCTAAGTTGACCATCACCCAAGTTTCAGTTTCTTTTTTTGTGTGTTTCTTATGCTCTTTGTACATTATTACCTTGAGGGAACTTTTCACAGCAGAAGAGTCCTGACAGGACAGGCAAATTGTTCATAAGATTCACTGGGGAACCATGAAGTTTTTGCTTTAGGGTGCATATTAAGGTCTCTGGCTGGTTAGCCAAGACTTTTAGTCCATGTATTTATATCACTTAAATTTGTCCAGTATTGCTTTGTACTGTAATCATATGTCTAGAGATAAACAGGTTGGAACACTGGTCAGGTTACTTTGCAGAATACTCTCATTTCCATGGCATGTCATGCCTGGACAAGCATGAAATGCAATAAACAGATGGCTGATTTGGGTTCTTGCAAGCCTCTCAATTGACCTTGTACCCTGTGGTATTAATGAATAGTGTTGTGGTTTTGATAAGAGGAAAGTCTTGTAATTAATTCTTGGTGACACTGAATTTAATTTCCATCAAAGTTTTAAACCCCAAAGAGTAGCAGGAAATATAATTAAAATGTAAAGCAAGGTAGGACCCAAAATGCTGTTCTTGAGCAATTCCTCCTTGCTCAATGGAATTCCCATTATTTAGATTTAGGTATGCAAATAACTATGAATATATAAAATAATTTAGTGTGAAGTGACTAGTGAATGAGGGAAAGATTACTTTAAAAAAATCATTGTAGTATAGTACTGCTGACTGTTTAAAATCTTAAAAGATGATGCTATTAAAGTGTCACACTCAGTATACCAGCAAATTTGGAAAACCCAGCAGTGGCCACTGCATTGGAAAAGGTTGGTTTGTGTTCTGTTCTTAAAGAAGAGCAATGCCAAAGAATGTAAAAACTATCAAACAGTTACACTTCATTTGTGCCAGCATGTGCTGGAAAGGTTATGCTTAAGAACTGAGAATTACCAGAATTGCAGGCTGATTTTTGAAGAGTCAGAGAAACTAGAGACCAAATTGCCAACATTTGCTGGATTACAGAGAAAGCAAGGGAGTTTCATTTCTTCTGCATCATTTACTACACTAAAGCCTTTAACTGTAGATCACAACAAATTATGGCAGGTCCTCAAAGAGATGGGAGTACCAGGTCATCTTAGTTGTCTCTTGAAGAAAAACCTGTATGATGATCAAGAAACAACAGTTAAAAGTGAACATGGAACAACTGATTGTTTTAAGATTGAGAAAGGAATACAATAAGGCTGTGTATTATTTATTTAATTTATATGCAGAGTTACATCTTTCAAAATACCAGGCTGGATGAATCAAAAACTGATATTAAGGTTTCCAGGAGAAATATCAACAGTCTCAGATGTGCAGACAATACCACTCTAGCAGAAAGTGAAGAAGGTTTAAGAAGCCTCTTGATGAGGGTAAAGGAAGAGAAAGAGGAGAGAGTAAAATCTGACTTGAAGCTTAAAAGTAAAAAAAAAAGAAAAGTAAGATCATGGCAGCTGGTCCCATCACATCCTGGCAAATAGAGGAAGAATTGATATAGCATCAGATTTTATATTCTTGGGCTCAAAGATGACTGCAGAGTGTGGAATTTGGTATACTGTTTTTCATTTGAACCGTTAGAATTCAACAGAAATCTGAAGGTAACAGATTGTGAATTTTAGATGGCTTTGGCTTCATACCTCCCCATATATATATACTAAGACTTGATCAGTTCACCTAAGGAAGGTAAGGTCTTAGGTACATTGACTCTATGTACAGTAGATAGTAATTTAAAAAGAACACTGATTCATTCAGTGTGTCCATTTCTTCAGTAATCGTATGTCTACACTAAATCAAGCCAGCACTAAGAAAGAGGTTGAGATGGAGGAAGGAGAAGCAAGAAATAATAGCAGGATCTAATTGGAGTGAGAAAATGAACTTTCTGTCCCTGTCCTTTCATTGTCATTTGATCCCTTCAGCAAAGATCCTGTCACTGACTGTTGAGGTAATTTGGGAGTAGTTGGGTGAGTTGTTCAGGTGAGGAACAGTATGAGTCCATTGGAGTTGTGTAGGTCTGCAATGGAGATAATGATGTGTGGCAAGAGTTGCCCTTCGTTTAAAGAAACTATATTGTGTTGGATATTCATAAATTGAGTAGGACTGTTTATATTAATGTCCTTGTCACATTTGGGAAAAATCCCATACAGTTTGCCTAATTTATTAGATCTTGCTGCAGAATGAAGAAATTGGGTTAATGGGATTTGGTGTTTTCTTGTAAGAAGATTCTGCATTATATATATGTTAAATGAAATCAACCTTGCTGTACTGTAGAGGAGGCTGTAACTTAAAATAACTAAATCATTATCCTCTATTCCTGATACATTTGCAAATAACTGAATAAAAATATAAAAGTGTTTACTTATTCCATTATAATGTAAGCTACTTCAGAGTAGGGATTATTTTTCAATTAGTCTTTATGTCTCTAGTATGGAGCCCAAAGTTCCTTGAATGAGTAAGTACTTGTAACTGCTTTTTGAATGAATTATCAGCTTTAATTTATGTGTATATGCAAAAGCATGCAAAACTATTATCTCCTTGGCAGATAATGGCAGTACATAGTAGCACATAGTTCAATCACTTGTCTCCCACTTTTTTGACCTTCATGATTTAGCTATGACTTGGTTGTATCAGCCAACAGATTCAAATATTGAATATGAAGGAGTGAGAATAAATGAACATTGCTACTTCAGATGATTTAAGTTTATTTTTTTTTTTATGGACTGATGGGGTTTTTAGTAAGCTAGTAGCCAGTTGTATTGTAATAGAGAATTTTAATTTCTAATGTTACATTTACCTCACAGTGCAGGTATTTCACTTTGGAGAAATATAAAGGTAATGTTTGTTTTGTTTTGTTTTTTGCAGACTTTGTAATTTTCTTCTGGAAAACCCAGATTATCCAAAGAAGGAAGGCAGAGTGGTTTTAAATCCTAATAGTAGCCTGCTTGCCAGCCAAGATGAGAAAAAGGCAAGTGTAGTATTCTTATTTCTGTGTTTTTCCAATATGCCCTTTAACTTTTTTTAATTATACTAGATTTCAATATAGTATTGTTGTAGGCAGTTTTTTTTGTTGTAATGCCTAGAGTAGGATTTCAAAGTTTTACTCATGTTTTTCTGATATTCGCCAACCTGGGCTATTGTGAAACCTGTATTTAATTTAATTAATTAATTTAACTTCTGCCTTTCTTTTCTTAGTATTCTTCCTTGTCCTCCTTATCTTTAACCCTCTAGCCAAAAAGAGCCCTAAAACAACAACAAAAAAAAGACTAAAGCTTTTAATTTCATAATTAGTTACAGAGTCAAGATTTCCTAGTTCTCCCAACACACCTCCTCCACAAACAAACTAGTAAACACATCAGACTGAATTCTGATCAGGAAAGTCAAGAAAAACAGTAAGTCGTTTAAGAGAGGTCTCTGGACACTAGCGAGAGGCCATCCAGGAGCCCAGTGCAGTCGTAGAAATAGCAACAGTGAGACTGGGAGTGTTCCAGCATCCAAGGACAGAAAGGAAACCAAGAGTATAGCAGGGCAGGAAGCACTGGGACAGAAAGAGATCGAAGTGGATCCCTAGACTAGTGCTAGGAGCAAGAATAGGTGCCACCTGGCAGCTCTGTTACTCATTACCCAGTTCTAGATCATCAGTCCAGGGCAAAGAGGAGCAGTCACAACTGAGGATGGGGCTCTAGTTGAGTACCAAGTACAAAACCAATTCTAGGAACTTAGCTGTGTGATTCTGAGCCTGGGAGTAGAGCAGTGACTCAGTTGTAACCTTAGCATAGCCTGCAATGGTCCGAAAAGCATCCTAGAACCCAGGAATAGAAAGAGAACCAAGGGGCAGCTGGGTGCATAATGCATAGAGCAGCGGCCCTGAAGTCAGGAAGACCTGAGTTCAAATCCGATCTCAGACCAAACACTTAACACTTACTAGCTGTGTGATGACCCTGGGCAAGTCACTTAACCCCAATTGCCTAGAAATAAAAAAAAAAAAATTAAAAAAGAGAACCAAGATAGAGCACCAGAGCAAGAGATTGGTGCAGGAATGAGGTGCCATTTGGCAGCTCTGTCACTCATTACTCAGTTCTGGGTCACAGATCCAGGGCAGAGGATAGTGACTGTAATCTAGTGAGGGCCCCTAGTTAAGAACTGAACAAAAACAAATTCTAGAAACTTATCTGTGTGGCTCCTTGAGCGCAGGAGCAGAGCAGTGACTTGGCTCTAACCAATAACCTGCCACACAATCCTGAAGTAGAAAAACTTCAAAAAAAGAGTTAAAGAACACTACCAAGGGGAGCCAGTAGCTCAGTCGCTCTTAACCTTCAGAACCTGACACTGGGCTAACAGTGACTGAGTCCAGCAACAGTCTACTGAAACTCAACTGAAGAACTTAACCTGAGTCAGGAACTTGGCAGAGTTCAGGCCAAGAGGTTTGTAAACATCTGTCGCTGTATCACAACACTTTGGAAGCACTGAAAGCTTGTAGGTCCCTAGACTGAGCTGTGAAAATAGCTGAAGAAAATAAAAGCTCAGGCCAGACATCCTCCCCTCTCCCTCAACACTGTGAGGCCAAAGTCAAGAAGTAGACTGGAAGAATGAGCAAACAAAAAGCAACTGAACATAAAGACCTACTGTAGTTTTTGGGAAACTCAAGGCATAAACACAGAAGACAATGACTTGGAAAGTCCTACAAGCAAAGCTCAAAGAGAAATGCACATTGGGCACAAGTATAGCAAGAATTCCAAGAAGAGTTAAAGGAAGAGCTAAAGAAAGATTTTTAAAGGAGCCTGAAAAATAAAAAAAATAAGAGCAGTAGAGGAAAAAATGGAAAAAGAAATGAGAGGTAACCAAGATTGTTATAAAAAGAGAATTAATAGCTTGGTAAAAAGAGGTATAAAATATTATGAAAGAAAATAAGTGCTTAAAAATTAGGATTGGACATCAAAAAATAGTAAAACAGAGTCAAAATTCTGAAAAAAATAGAGAAGGTATAAAGTATTTGTCAGGAAAAACTGAGCAGGAAAATAGATCAAGGAGAGATAATTAAAGAATGATTGTTAAATGAAAAATAAAGAATTGGTCTTCCCAAAAGTTATAAACAGCAACAACAAAGAGCTTAGACATATTTAAAGAAATTATAAGAGAAAATTGCCAAGATAGCTTAAAACCAGAGGGCAAAGTAGACATTGAAAGAATCCATTAGTCACTTCCTGAAAGAAACCCCAAAGTAAAAATTTCCAGGAATGCTTTAGCTAAAATCTAGAACTTTCATGTCAAGGAGAAAGTAGTTCAAGTAGCCAAGATATAATTAAAGTACTATGGAGCCACAGTCAGAATCACACAAGACTTAGCAGCTACTATTTTAAAGGAATGGAGGGCTTAGAATATGATATTCTGGAAGGGAAAGGATCTGGAATTGCAACCTAAAATTATTTACCTCTAGCAGAACTATTATAGTGGAGGACGTCAATTTACTCTTCTCAGACCTAGATAAATTTAACCACAAAGTAAATGGGAAAGAAGTTAAAAAGATGAATAAAATTTTAGGAAAGTTAGATATGATACACCCAGAGAAAATTGAAGGGCAATATTAAGGAGTATACCTATTTACTCAGTTTATTCATTGTACAAGACTCTTTCACAAAAATTGACCATGTATTAAGATATAAAATTCTCACAAACAAATGCAGAAAAGCAGAAATGCTAAGTGCAGTTTTTTTTAGTACAGTGAAAATTTCATTCAATAAAGAGCCTTTGAAACATAGATTAAAAATTAATTGGAAACTAAATAACTTAATGCTAAAGAACAAATTATAGAAACAATAATTTCATTATAAATAATGACAGCAGTGAGACAACATAACAAAATTTGGGAAGCAGCCAAAGCAGTATTTAAGGAAAAGTATATATGTCTGAATACTGATTATCAATAAAGGAGAGAAAGAGCAGATCAATAAATTGAGCATGCAACTAAAAAAATTAGAAAACCAACAAGATTAAACCTCCAACTAACCAACAATTTAGGAATTCTGAAAATCAAAGGAGAAACTTGAAAATTTAAAATGAAAAAAGCCATTGAACTAACAAAACTAGGAACTGTTTTATTTTAAGGGAAAAACCCAAAAAAATAGATAAGTCATTGGCTAATTTCATTTTTTAAAAAGAAAACCAAATCATTAGTATCAAAAATGAAAAGAGTAAATTTGCAAGCAATGAAAATGAAATAAAAGCAATTATTAAAAGCTATTTTGCCTAACTCTATGCCAGTAAAACTGATACTCTTAATGAAATGCGTGGCTATTTATAAAAATGTATAAATTGCCAAGATTAACAGAAGAGGAAAACTCATCCTAGAAAAAGAAATCAAACAAGCCATAAATGAACTAAGGAAAAAAAAACCAATCTAGTAAGAGATGGATTTTCAATAAATTCTACCAACAACTAATTCTAATACTACACAAAGTGTTCAGAAAAAATAGGTAAAGAATCTTACCAAACTCCTTTGTTGACACAAATATAGTCTTGACACCTAAGCCTGGGAGAATCAAAATGGAAAATGAAAACTGTAGACCAATTTCCTTAATAAGATTGATGCAAAAATTCTAAATAAGACACTAGCAAAGAGATTACAGCAATATATCATAAAAATCATATGCCAGTATCAACAACAAAACCAACAGAAACCACATGATCATCTCAATAGATGCAGAAAAAGCTTTTGATAAAATACAACACCCATTCCTATTAAAAACACTAGAAAGCATAGGTATAAATGGAGTCTTCCTTAAAATAATAAATAGCATACATCTAAAACCTTCAGCAAGCATTATATGTAATGGGGACAGACTAGAAGCATTTCCAATAAGATCGGGGTTGAAACAAGGATGTCCATTATCACCACTGTTATTCAGTATTGTACTGGAAACCTTAGGATAGCAATAAGAGAAGAAAAAGAAATTAAAGGCATTAGAATAGGCAAAGAAGAAACAAAGCTGTCACTCTTTGCAGATGACATGATGATATACTTAGAGAATCAAGTAAAAAACTACTTGAAATAATGAACAACTTTAGCAAAGTTGCAGGCTATAAAATAAACCCACATAAATCATCAGCATTTCTATATATTGTCAACAAAGCCCAACAGCAAGAGATAGAAAAAGAAATCCCATTCAGACTTACTGTAGACATTATAAAATATTTAGGAGTCTACCTCCTGAAACAAACCCAGGAACTCTGTGAACACAATTACAAAACACTTTTCACACAAATAAAATCAGATCTAAATAATTGGAAAGACATCGGTTGCTCATGGGTAGGCTGAGCTAATATAATAAAAATGACAATCCTACCTAAGCTAATTTACTTATTCAGTGCCATACCAATCAAACTACCAAGAAATTATTTTATAGAGTTAGAAAAAATAATAACAAGATTCATTTGGAAAAACAAAAGGTCCAGAATATCAAAGGAACTAATGAAAAGAAATGCAGGGGAAGGTGGCCTAGCAATTCCAGATCTTAAATTGTATTAGAAAGCAGCAATCAACAAAACTGCTTGGTACTGGCTAAGAAATAGGGAGGTGGATCAGTGGAATAGGTTAAATATGCAAGACACAGTAGTCAGTGACTATAGTAATCTATTATTTGATAAACCCAAAGACCCCAGCTTCTGGGGATAAGAACCCACTCTTTGAAAAAAAACTGCTGGGAAAACTGGAAAAGAATATGGCAGAAACTAGGCATAGACCCAAATCTCACACCATATACCAAAATAAAGTCAAAATGGGTTTATGACTTAGATATAAAGGCTGATACCATAAGTAAACTGGGAGAACAAGGAATAGTTTACCTATTAGATCTATGGAAAACAGAGGAATTCATGACCAACAGGAGATAGAGAATATTATGAAAAGCAAAATGGATAATTTTGATGACATTAAATTGAAAGGTTTTTGCACAAACAAAGCCAATGCAACTAAGATTAGAAGGAAGGTAGAAAATTGGGAAAGAATTTTTACAACCAGTCTCTCTGATAAAGGCCTCATTTCTAAAATATATAATTAAGACAAATTTATAAGAATACAAGCCATTCCCCAGTTGATAAATGGTCAAAGGATATGAACAGACAGTTCTCAGATGAAGAAATTAAAGCCATCTATAGTCATATGAAAAAATGCTCTAAATTGTTATTGATTAGAGAAATGCAAATCAAAACAACTCTGAGGTACCACATCATACCTATCAGATTGGCCAACATGACAAAACAGGAAAATGATAAATGTTGGAGAAGATGTGGGAAAATTGGAACACTAATACATTGTGAAATGATCCAACCATTTTGGAGAACAATTTGGAACTATGCCCAAAGGGGTATAAAAATGTGCATACCCTTTGATCCAGCAATAGCACTTCTGAGGCTATATCCCAAAGAGATCAAACAAATGGGAAAAGGACCCACATGTACAAAAATATTCATAGCAGCTCTTTTGTGGTGGCAAAGAATTGGAAATTGAGAGGATGCCCATCAATTGGGGAATGGCTGAGCAAGTTGTGGTACATGAATGTAATGGAATACTATTGTGCTATAAGAAATGAGGAACAGGCTGACTTCAGAAAACCCTGGAAAGCTTATATGGTCTGATGCTGAGTGAAGTGAGCAGAACCAAGAGGACTTTGTACACAATAACAGCCACGTTATGCAATGACTAATATTGTTAAACTGAACCGTTCTCAGCATTACAAGGATCTAAGACATCTCCAGAGGCCTCGTGATGAAAAGTGCTGTCCACATCCAAAGAAAGAAGTATGGAAGTCGCTATCACTTATTTTTACCTTTTGTTGAGTTTTGTTTCCTCTTTCTGATGGTTCCACATATTGGTTTTAATTTTTACTTACAACCTCACTAATGTGAAAATATGTTTAATGGGTATGTAAATGTAAAGCCTATGTCAGATTGTGCGCCGTCTTGGGGAGGGTGGGGGGGAGGAAGGGGGAGAAAAATTTTCAACTCAAAAGCATATGGAAGTGATTGTTGATAAATCAAAAAAAATTAATTTTTAAAAAAATCGTATTCCAAGACCAGAGTGGGTTTATACCAGGAAGGCAAGGCTGATTAATATTAGGGAAACTGTTAGCATAACTGACCATATTAGCAAAAAACACAATAAAAAATCATATGATCATATCAATGGATGCAGAAAAGGCTTTTGACAAAATACAGCACCCATTCCTATTAAAAATATAGTAATAAATGGAGCATTCCCTAAAATGATAGGTAGTACCTATCGAAAACCAAGAAACAAGCTTTGTCTGTCGTGGGGATAGGCTTAGAAGGCTTTCTGGTAATATCTGGGATGAAGCAAGAACGTCTGTGATCACCACTGTTGTTCAGTATCATATTAGAAATGCTGTCTAAATCATTAAGACAAGAAAAAGATATTGAAAGAACAAACATAGGCAATGACGAAACAAAACTGTCATTCCACACATAAGTTTTACTTCATAGACAACCTTAGTGAGTCAGCTAAAAAACTAATTAAAATAATTAACAGTTTAAGCAAAATTGCAAGATGTAAAACCTATGGAAATCATCAACATTTCTGAATATTACCAACAAAATTCAGCAGGAAAAAATAAAAAGAGAAATACTACAGATGCCAGGAAGACTCCCAAGTATTTTATACCATCTTCAGTATAAAATACTTGGGAGTCTTCCTGCCAAGACACACACAGGAACAATATGAACACAATATAAAAGAACTTCATAGAAGTAAAGACTGATCTAAATAATTGGAGAAATATTAATTGCTCATGGGTAGGCTGAGGCAATATAATGAAAATGACAATACTACCTAAATTAATTTACTATTTAGTGCATACCAATCGAATTACCAGAGAATTACTTTATAGAGCTAGAAAAAGAATAACAAAGTTCATCTGGAGGAACAAAAGATCAGAAATATTAAGGGCACTCATGAAATAAAAATATGAAGCATGGAGGACTAGCAATATCAAATCTCAGACTGTACTACAAGGCTGTAATCATCAAAACAGTTTGGTACTGGGTAAGAGATTGATCGGTAGAAGATTTTTGTTCAGTTTCAGTCATGTCAAACTCTTTGTGACCCCATTTAGGGATTTCTTGGCAAAGATAGCGGTAGTGTGGTTTGTCATTTCCTTCTCCAGCTCATTTTATAGATTAGGAAACTGAAGCAAAGAAGGTTAAATGACTTGACCAGGAATCCGCAGCTAGTAAGTATTTATAATAGCTCTTTTTGCATTAGCAAAAAATCAGAACTTAGGGGATGCCCATCAATTAGGGAATGGCTGAGCAAGTTGAATAAATGTAATGGAATACTGTTGTGCTGTAAGAAATGTTGTTACAGATGGTTTCAGAACTTACACAAAGTGAAGTGAGCAAAAACACAGGAACAATTTATACAGTAACAGCAATATTGTGGAAATAATCAACCCTGAAGAACTTAGTAATTCTAATCAACACAGTGACCAACCACAATTCCCAAGAACTCATGATGAAACATGCCCTCCACCTCCAAATACAGAACTGTTGGACTCAGTGGATTGAAGCATATTTTTTTCTTTTTCTTTCTTTTTTTGGAACATGGCTAAAGTGGAAATTTGTTTTGTGTGTCTATATATATTTGTAATTTTGATTGCCTTCTTGATTGGTGGAGTTGGAGGAGATAATTTGGAACGAAAATAAAATTGATTGGCAGGGGGGAAATGACCTAGTCCCAACAAAAGATAACAGACAATGTGAACTAGATATTACTCCCGGCTAATATCTTGTTTTAAAATTAAGTAAGAGCACTGTAATCTCAGGAGGCCTCTATTTTCTGATCTCTATTTCAGTGACTGAACAAAATAGAAGTCAAAAAATAAAGGAAAAAGAAATTTGCCACTGAGAAATGTAAAAACGAAACAGAACTGTAGAACTACTACTTTGGATTCTGTTGCTCTTCCTGTCCCCTCTCTCTCCCTCTTGCTTTCTTTTTCCCCCTCCCTCTCTTCCTCTTATTAATTCATGTATTCCCATGTCATGGGACACAGTTGTTTTGAGACAACTTGAAGGTCCTTTGTATATTTGTTTGTTGTGTTGAAAACAAATCCCATTAACAAATTTTATTAGTTTTCAACTTCTCTTTCATTTCAGGTGTCTAAAGTGGACTATTTTGACTTTTCTAAACTTACTCCTCTTGACCAGCGTTGCTTTATGCAAGCTACTGATCTACTCATGGAAGATTTCAAAATGCTCAGCACTCAGGACATCAAGTGGGCACTACATGAGCTCAAGGGACACTATGCAATCACCCGAAAGGTCATCTACTTATGTTTTTGGGTTCTTTTTCATATCCATCTCCTACTTCTTCCCCTAGTATCTAGATGAAGAGGTCAGGTTAAAGGATTGAGTGTGATTTCTCTTGGAGAACAAAAAGTGAAGGTGTGGCCTTTGGGGGAGGTTGGGATGGAAGATTCTAAGGAGATCACAGATTTTGAAGGATTCTGAGAAGTCTCCTAGGCTAAAACCCTTTATTTTGCTATTGAAGAGTCTGAGGCCCAAAGAGGTTGCCCTAAGTCACACAGGTAGGACTGAGTAGAGGAGAAATTTGATCTTTTTCCTTTCTCCTATGGACTTAAAGAAGAGCAAAAATGTGATAGACATAAAAATCATCTTCATGGCAGGATGCTAAAATATTAAGATTGATTACTAAGGGGAGTGATAAAGTATTCTTCTTTGGAAATCTTTAAGAAAAGACTAGATCTGTTACACTAAGAAATAAAAGGGACTAAAACCTGCTGTACCTATTTGGAAAATCATTGAGACTAACATGTAACAAGGATTCTCATAGTATGAAACAGCCCCGTCGGCCTGTGCGTGGTGTGTTCTATACTTTTCACACACATACACTTCATGTTTCTCATAAATAGCCATGATATTGGTGTGTCTTTGGGTTGTTGATCCTTGCAGAAAACACCACCACTCCTTGTCAACATTGCTGCTGCTGTGGCTAGTCTTGAAAAAGTTCCTCCCTCATCTGATCGGTATCTAGTTAGGAGGCTGCAGGAGATTACTGGTTGATTCTTTTTGTCTACTTGGACCAGATACTGATCCCAGGTTGGAGGTGCTAGTGACCAAAGGAAGTGTGTTTGACCGTAGGATGTCTCCAAGACTTTTCCTAGGAGGTAGTTAGTTCCTATACCTGCCCAAGCAACCTTAGGTATAACCTGCATTGTTTATGACCTGGCATTTTCCCAGCTTGCATTGTAGAGTGACTTATGACCAGAAACACCCCTGCTTTGCTAAGAATTTTGTTATCTGTTTGCATACTGGAGAAAAGTATTATGAAAGGACAGATGGGAGGAAGGAAGGTAGAAAATATATTTTTTACATATATATATTCAAATGAGAAACCTATTTTCTGTAAACATTATGAAAAAAGGAATGCTTCTTAGTCAAGAATGGAAATTAGAATTTGTGGTTACAGTGAAATTCTGAGGTACCTCAGTCTGATTTCTTTGAAAGATTTATAAAGTCAGATCTTTGTTGTCCAATGGGGTAGGACTTGGTGAAGTAACATGGACTTTCACATTCAATTCAGTGGTTATTTATTAAATGCCTACTACATGTAGTTCTCACTTTATGTAAGTGGAGTGTTCCACAGATTTTTACGTAATGTGAATTTCCCTTTGGACATGGGGGGTAAGGCAAGGGTGGAGGAAGGAAGGGGGCTATGTGTCCACAAAAGGAAGCTGTCACAGAATTTAAGGACACGTTGGGGCCAGGGATAGAGAAACAAGAGTGGAAAGAGGAAAATGGGGAGGTCCTGGGACCAGCCATGTGGGGGCCAGACACAGACAGGAGAGGATGGGGACAGATATATGGTACCTGAGTGAGGACTGTTAGGGGCTAGATATGTGGGCGTCAGAGGACAGTGGTCTCTTCTCTTGGCTTTGCAGATCTATAGCAAAGCCCCTGTCTGCCAAAACCCTGTCTCGTGGTGGTTTCTCTGGGTGCTTTGACTTGGAGTGGTTTTTTTTGTTTTGTTTTGTTTTTGTTTTTGTTTTATTGGGGGGAGGCCTCAGAGTGCTGAGCAGAGGGACAGGAAGGGAGAGAGACAGAGAGAGAAGGGGACAGTACTGTACAGTAAAGTTAACGTAAGTGGTTTCTTACGATGCAAATTTCTTTCAGAATTGTTTACGTAAAATTCAATTTGTGTAATGTGAATTTATGTAAAGCAAGGACTGTCTATATGTGCAGTTCCCATGAGCTGGGAATCCAAAGACAAAACAAACAGCAACCCCCACCTTCGAGGAGTTGATGTTCTACCAGAGGAGTTAAAACATTTGCATAGATGAGTCAGCACTCTACAGTATTTAGCTTCCCACTTGAGAGTAGGTGACAGAAATTTGTAGTGGACCCTAGGGTGCACAGTTATGTAATTTGCACCAGTGGCGTTCAGAAGCTCATGAGTAGGATCAGAGAGGGTAGATTGATAAGGGATACTCCGAAGTTGGTGTTTGACAAGTTATGAGTGCCAATGGGACAAGAGGGTAAGGAATTCAGGGGTGACGTATGAGTTGAGGTGGTGAAGCAGTAGAATTAATATTTCAAAAAGGAAAGTGAAGAAGACCAAGAGTTCAGAGTAACTGAAAATTGTGGTGAGGGCAGCAAAGATGAAGAATAGGTTTAGGGTGACTGTACATGTATAACCTATATCAAATTGCTTGCCTTCTCAATGAGGAGGGAGGAAGAGAATTTGAAACTCAAAATTTTATAAAAATAAATGTTAAAAGTTTTTTACATGCAATTGAGGGGAAAAAATTGCAGGGAAAAATAGGTCCAAGAGAAGCAAACCAGAGGAAGAAGATGGAGGGACAAAAGTTAAGAGTACTTGCCAAAACATTATTTCAATGGGCTTCTCTATATTTTACAAAATAAGTTTTACATTGTAACATTTAAAACTGCTTTGGAACTTCATAATGCTATTCCTAGGTAGGACCTATGTCTTAGGACTTACAGCTATAGTTTTCTGGTCACTTAAACTCTGGATTGAGTTCAGGTTTTCATGCTTCTGATGTGGTAAAACAGAGCCTCAGATGTAATATAAGTATGTGAGAGATGGCATCCTAATTTGCAGTGCACATTGACGATCCAGGAGCTCTGCAGATACAGACAAAGCTCACAGTTCTGAACAGTCTGTATAGTAGATTTTTTTTTTAGTACCAATAGTTGTATATTGAGGCAAGATTCCTGATGATTACATTGCAGTCTACACATTTTCTAAGCCTTTAATTTTTTACTTCTGTTCTCTGGAAACTATGTGAAAGCTAACTGGTTTTAATGAAGCAACTTAACAGCTACAAAAAGAAGCCTTAAAATTTGGAGTAAGAGCTTTCACAGGGGCTGTATATAGATAAATCCATTGTCTTTATCTTAGCTATCTTGGTTAATCAATCAACAAACATTTATTACACACCTATGTGCCAGGCACTGGGGATACAGATACAAAAATAGAGCATTCTATTCCCTCTTTCCATCAGACTTGTTCCAGAATGATGGCTTTTCTTCCTCATAGTTCTATCTTCTCTGCTTGATAATTTAGTAAAGTTGAAGCTCACTCTTTGACCTTGTAATCATGTTTTTAGTGGCAAACTGTGGTGTCATAATTCTCAGATTATTTCACCACAGGACGAAACAAGCTGAAGAAAACAAGCCGGGGGTAGAGGTGGGTGGGAGAGATGTATGCAAGAAACCTTTACAAAGTAGCATCTTTTAGAACAGCAGGAAAAGACCGTAAATTACTAGCAAACTATTTTATTTTTTAGATCTGGTCATTTCATCTCAGAGTTCCCCAAAGTATTTTGCTAAAACTCTCCTGTTGATGTATAGCTGTTTGAGTAGAGCCTGTGTGGTAACGGTGACTGTATAGTTAGGAAAACCTGATAGCCCGCTGGTGTGGCAATTAATACTGAATGGAAGGAGCTCTGGACCAGAAGCTCTATTCTCAGCTCAGCAGCTACCATTATGACCTTGGACAAGTCTCTTCATTTTTAATGGGCTTCAGTTTCTTCATCTGTAAAATAAGAACTATGGATGATATACTCTCAGAGATCCCCTCCAATTCAATTCTATGATTCAGCAAAGTACTTCTTCAGTGTTTCGCTAATGTTTTGATTGTTTGGGGAGAGGTGATTTTATTTTTAAAGTATGTTCTCCACTGCTCCAAACCAAAACGAAAAATTATTCCTAAATGAATAATTATCCTAAAATGTATTTTGAAGAACTTTTACTTCTTTGAGATGACCTAAAGCCATAATCTCGTTTTGTAGTTGATAATTATAATAAAACATTTGTTCAGAAAGAGTAATTCATTGCAACAGCTGATCTCTCTTGAATGAAGGAGCTTAACTTTGTAATAGGACATTTCTGTGATAAAATCACCTAATGTTACTTTGCTAAGTAATGGGAGAGAATTTTTTCCATAGGTGTCATTAAGTTAAGCATTATTTACTTTTTAACTCTATTTCTTCTCCCCAGCTCCATGATTTCCATAAGAAAATCCATAAGAGATGCAAACATCTCTCTTACAAGAAAAAAAAAACCACAGCTCAAGGATCTTGAATAGGCTATGCATATCATAAGTTCTCCTGGATCAAGAATGTGCTCTCTATTAATATTGTATTCTGCATATTGCTAGTATTATAGAAGTCACTTACTAAATGTTCTGACACTGTTTGCAAAACATTCCACATTTGTGGTCCCCTATTATTCAAATGAAAGAGGAAAGATGCCATTTCCTGTTCTCTTCTGGCCCAAAGCATTCAGCTTCATTTTTTGCACTTTTATCACTATAATCATTATATATTGTTTTCTTGGTTCAGTTCTTGCATTAGCGCATAAAAATCTTTCCACTTTTCTCTGAATTCTTGTCACTTCTTATAGCACAATATTACATTGCATTCATATATCACAATTTCTTCAGCTCTTCCCTAGTCAGTGGTCACCCTCCCCCATTTTCACTTATTTGCTACCACAAAAAAGTTGTTATAACCATCTTGGTATATGTGGGACCTTGCTTTTTGTCTTAGTGACACCCTCTATTACTTAGTGCTCATGGTATTTGGATTAAAGAGCCTACTTAACAATGACAATAAGCTGAGAGGATACCAACCCAACAGGCTTCTCTTGCCCAAAAAAGTGTTGTTGGAAACTTGTGTCGTGAAGATATTCAGTTGTATTGTTTTCAGCTTTTTGTACCAGACAAGAAAACTGAGGTCCAAGAAACTTTAGCCATTGCCACATTTGCCCTGAAAATATCTGCTGGGAGCCAGCCACAGTGTTAAGCTTTGGGGATACATAAAGAGGGAGAAAGACAGTCCTGCCCTCAAGAAACTCACGGTCTGCAGGGGGAGACAACAAGCAAACAAATATGTACGAACAAACTACATGTAGGAAACAGTTAAAAGAGAGAAGGCACTAAAATTAAGAGTGGTTGGGAAAGGTTTACTGTAAAGGATGGAGTTTTAGTTGGGATGTGACTAAGCCAGGAAAGCCAGGAGATGAGAAGGGAGAACATTCCAGACATGGCGGACAGCCAAAGAATATGCCCAGAGCCAAGAGATGGAGTCTCCTTTTCGTAGAACAGTGAATAGCCCATGTCACTGAATTGAAATATGTGTTGGGAGGAGTAAGATGTAAGAAGCCTGGAACAGTAGAGGTGTGGAGGGTGGGGTAGATCAGGAAAGGCTTTGAATGCCAAACAGGATTTTGTATTTGAACCTGGGGATGGTAGAGAATCAGAGAAATATATTTGAGAGAGGGGTGTGCGTGTGTGTGTGTGTGTTTGAGACCTTCATTTTAGGAAAATCACTTTGGTGGCCGAATGGAGGATGGATTGATGAGGGCCTGCACTAGGTCGGTAGGAGTATCAGAGGAGAGAAGGGGACATGTTTAAGAGGTATCAGCAGGCCTTGGCAACAGATTGGATGGGGGGAGTTTGGAGGGTGAGAGATATTGAGGTGTCAAAGATGACTCCTAGGTTGCAAGCCCGAGGGACTGGGAGGATGGAGTTGTCCTCTACAGTAAGAGAAGTTGGTAGGAGATAGAGATGGTTAAGGAGAAAGATAATTATTTCCATTTTGGACATGTTTAAGATGTCTACTGAACATCTAGTTTGAGATATCTGAAAGAGAATTGCAAGTGTGAGATTGGAGATCAGCAGAGAATTTGGGACAGGATAGGTAGATATGAGAATCATTAGCATATATATGGTAATTAAATCCATGGGAGCGATTGTGATTATCAAGTGAAGCGGTATAGAGGGAGAAGAGAAGGGACCCAAGACAGACTAGAACTTACCATATGTAATCATTCAGTATCTCAGACAGTTCACTGTAAGCATTTGAGTTTAACTACATATAGCCCTTTCTTAAGAACTGTTTGGTCTATGTATATAAACAAGCCAAGAGATAAATTGAGTAACTATGTGTGACAGATACATAATAGCAAGACAGAAAATTATCTTGAAATATTGTCTCAGCATTCACCTTAAATGATAGCATTGAAATAGGCAACATGCTAATTAGGAATAGCTAAGTTAAAATTGAAACTGAGACCTAACATTACCTCATGTTGACACAGGTACATCCTTAATAGATTTACAGGGAAGTCTTCATATAACTATCACACAAGAGCTGGGGGTGGGAAGGGTATCCTCAGTTCATAGTTAAGACCTTATAATACTTATATGGAAGAAATCTGCTTCAGTCAAAATAGGTAAAGAAATGCCAGTGGGTAGGAGAGGAGGAGATCTGTTGGTCCTCAGTGTTGTGTGTAAACAATTTTCTAACTAGTGAGTAGCAGTTTGGCTAAATTGTTGATTTCAGGAGTTTTCCCTTTGTGATTGACACATGCATTTCTCCCTCTCCCCCCCCCAAGTATTTTAAAAGGGAAACAAAAACGGGCACTACGTAATTATAACCCAGTTAGCTTTTTGGATATAGTCTTTTAGTCAAGTGGCAGCCTTGTAGTAAGAAGTCAAGAGCTCTGGACTAGGATTCAGAAGATCTGGGTTCTAATTTTAGATTTTCTACTTAATGAGGGGATGACTTGGGTAAGTCACCTAACTTTTTACTTTTCTCTTTAAAACGAAAATACCTGCTCTGCCAACTCATGGGACCAGGACAAAGCTCATGAGATGAAATTATGTGTGTGAAAATGCTTTGTCAGCTCTAAAGTATTATTATGTAAATGTTTGATATTTCCACATGCCACTCATCTGTTTAAAAATTTGGAAGTGGGAAAAATCTTCATGATGCTGAAGATGATGTGGTATTGACTTTCCCTTCCTCCACTCCCAGTAAATAAGTGGATACCATGTAGATGGGAAGGAGTGTCCATTTAGAAGGCAAGTACTGCTGGGACAGTCCCACCTTTAACTAAAGCTTAATTATTAGTTAATGGCAGAGCGGGGACCAGTTGTCATTTAGGGTAAAAATAGGGCATTGATTATAGGGTTATAAATTTAGAGTTTCAAGAGAGCTTGAGAACATCTAGTTCAACCTTCCCATTATACAGATGGGAAAACTGAGGCCCAGATAAGTTAACTAGGACTTCCATAAGGTCACACAGTTAGTAAATAGCACAGGCCAGGTTTGAACTCCTTCAGGTCCTTTGATAGTATAACTAGGATTTTACCCACTATACCATACTGCCTTTCTTGTAGGCTTTAAGGAGGTTTGCTTTGGGAATGAGGGAATGCTGGGATGGAGGAAAGTAGTTGTTTATAAAGTAGATGGGAGAATAACCAAAACAAATTATACATCTCCCATTATTGCTTGAGGCCAAAGGGTTGGCCCTGAAATTACCTGACAGCATATGCTAACCCAACCTATAATCTAGGAGCTAAGAGAAGAAAAAAGGGTGGAAGTAAAGGCATATGCATTATTATATCTTCTCCATTTTTTTTTTTTGCTTTCAGATCTGTTACAGAGAAATTAGATGCCAGTCTTATTTCTCTAGCTCCAACAATTGTAGGATTTAATTTTTGGCAATTTTGTTATAGCAGTATTCCCCTCTAAATTACAATTTATATCCCATTGAGTTCCTTATAATGGAACTTTACTTTCACTTCTTGAGTTATAGAGGGTGAATTGTCGAATTATTTTTTATTATCAAAATCTTTACTGTTTCCCTTACTTCCTTCTCCCCCCCCCCCCGCTAACATTTCATTTTGGTTAGCCTTCTGCTTTGTTAGCATTTTAGCATGGTTGGGAAGATGACAAATGAAATTATAGTGTTTATTTTGTTATTTAGTAATCCTAGTAAGAAATTTGGTCAAAATGAGGGTTCTGAATTATGTGCATTTAAATTTTTCCGTATTCATCTTGACCTTTCCCCACCCTCCCAGCCCAATTTCTATGAATAATTGAAAGTTGCCTAAGTTTAGTAACCTTTTCCATTTTTTAATTTTAGGCCTTTTCTGATGCCATTAAAAAATGGCAGGAGCTATTACCAGAAGCCAGTGGAAAGAGAAAAAAGAGGAAAGAAATGAATCAGTATTCTTACATAGATTTCAAATTTGAACAAGGTAAATGGAAAACTGTGTGTGTGTTCCTACCTTGTATGAAACCATTCAGCAGAACTTATCCACTTACCCACAGCAGTCAAGTAAATGTAGCTATTTTGTGGGGTGCTTTTGCAAATATACCTCAATAAGAACCCTCACTTTTGTTCATAAACTAGTTTCAAGGACAAATACTGATATAGAATAACTGTTTTGAGGGTACATCAAAGTTTGAGGAAACATTTCAATAATTTCTTATTCATGCTGGGAGCATATAGTGACAAGAAAATGAACCTTTTGTGGGGTAGAAAACCACATGCAAATAGATACTGTTTGGTTCAACTCTTTGGTCCAGAAAAAACTGGCTTCCCATGTCTGCCATGAGCTCATAGTGTACCAGGCTAAAAATTTAGGTGGACAAGCCATCATTACTAAGGAGTCGCTTGAGAACCCGAGAGAACCAATATGAATGGAGCAATTTTAAAATGGTAATTTTTTAGATTAGAAAGCTTTACAGACAAAATTCACACCTTTTAGATGCCTCCTTGATTGCTTTCATTCTTGTGGATGAAACACTATGGAAACTCTTTATTAAATGAAAGGTCTTAAGTTCATGTCATCTACAAGATGTAGAATTGATAGAATTTACAGGAAACTTTCCTTTGAGTTGCGTGTTTCCTGCGTGAGGGGACGGGAGATTTCCTTCTTAGCACCTTTTCCTCAAACCACTGCTGTATTTGGACACATTTTCTCTCACTGGGCGTTCTCCTTTTTATTGTTGATCTTTTGTCTGTTACTATTCAGACTTTTATGATCTCAAATATACTTAAAAGAATAATTCCTTTAAAGAAATTCAGAAATAAGAGCTCTTTATAAAGGTGTAGAATTCTAGAGTTGGAAGAGACCTTAGAGATCACCTTCCTCTCAGTTCAAAAACTCCCTTGATGGTACCTCTGATAGGTGGTTATCCAGCCTCTGTTTGTCTGGCTGACACCTCACTTCTTTATGAGTCAGTTCATGCCATGATTGTGTAGTTTGCATTTTTATAGAGGTCTTAAAAATCTGCATCCTATTGACTTTCACTTGTCTTCCCAAATTCTGCCTTCTGGAGCAACACAGAGTAAATCTAAGCCTTCTTTCACATGCTTTCAGTACTTCAAAAGGTACCCACTGGATTGGGTACTCCCTTTCCAAAGCAGAGCAAAAATAATCATGTCACAATAGTCTGCATGTATTGTCTCAGAAAAATTGTGAAATCATTGCTTATCAGGCTGCCTTCTAATGACGAACATCTCCAAACTTAGCTGGACTGGTCCTTAGATGACAGATGTCTGTCCTTTTTGGTTTGGTAGGACCTAACAGAGCTTGTGCTCTGTTAATGTAGATGTCAAGAGCCTCCCTACCATTATAATGCATTGGAATGAGGCTTTTGTAGAAGTTTCATATGACAGTCCTTAAAATATATGAGACTGCTGTCATGTTCCTATCTCTCACCCCCATTCCTCAAAGAGTAAATAATCAGGTCATGATGAGGTGACCATTTGTTACACTGTGGTAGAGAAGATGAAATTCTTGTTTAGTTTGGGCTAGACTAGATGATCTCTAAGACCTCTTCTAAATTGGAATGTGTGTTCCACATCTTTCTGCACACATGTGTATGACAAAAACAGACAGTCATTGATCTTGTGGTTTCCCCATACACATTTGTCAAGCCTTGTCTTTTCTATTCAATACCTTTGTGATAGTTTTCTTTTAACTTAAATGTAGCAACTTCCACTTACCATTTTTCTAAATTTCATCTTGTTTTGCCTAATCACTTAATTTAAGGAAAGAAAATAATCATCCTCTTCATTTTTTGAATGTGCGTGTTGTGCAGTGACTTGTAGGGTTTTCTCATGGAACATTTATTGGAATTTAAATTTTAAATTGTACCATATTTCAGCCCATGTGTTATCTTATCTCCATTGGGAATTATATAAATACTGTAGTATTAAATTCACATATAGAAACAGGAAAGCAGAATTATATAAATCATAAAGTAGAAATTATATAAATCAATATGGATGGACCAATTTTAAAATGGAAATTTTTTTGGGTCATACTGCTGGTTACCTGTTTGCTGTTTAAAAAGTTCTAGATAGTGGCTGAAGGGAAAAGAAAAAAGGACAGAAACAGATAAGTTGCTTGTCACTGATTTCTAGCACAGGCTTGAAAACTTATATGCCAAGTCCCTTTGTCCACCTTAAATAAAAGCAGGAGATTTTTCTTTGAGGACTAACTTCTGTTTAGCAGAGGAGAACATTTTCATTTATTTTTCATCATGTAACATAATGCCCCAGGTCCTCTAGGCTCGATGGAAAATACAAAGGTTAGTATAACTCCCTTAAGATTCTTTCAGTCTAATAGAGGAGAAATGTATACAGTTATAATATGAAGCAGTCTGTAATAAATACTATAAGAAAGCTTCAAAGAAGGTGCTTTATGAGAAGTCATACTTAGTTTTGGTAGAAGATTCATGGAGGAGGTGATATTTGAGAATAGTTACAATAATAGGACAAAGTGGGTTTGGGAACAGCATGTACTGTAGTTTGGTGTGTGTAGCAGGAAGTAGTGGGGCATCTGACTGGAAGTGAATAGGTGAGACTGTGGAGAGAATTGAGTATGAAGACCCAAATTCCTGGCACTGTGTCTTTTGCTAAAGTTTTCCTTGTCTTGTATTCTTTAGGTGATGTAAAAATAGAGAAGCGGATGTTCTTTCTGGAAAATAAACGTCGACACTGGAGGTCCTATGAGAGGCGTTCACTCCTTCCGCCTGTGAGAAAAGAGCAAGAATTCTATGAGAAGAAAGTCAAGGAGATGGCCGAAGTAAGACTTTACCCTGGGGGTTGGGGGGATTAAAAGTGAGGAGAAGGGGTATATTTCATAATAACTTGTTAACTGATCAGGCTGTGGGGAGGGTTGTGTTGGTGTGCCTTACCACACATGGTAGGTAGTATGTCTGTGCTGGACTTCAGATGAAGGATGGAACAGAAACCCAAGTTGTAAACAAGGCATTTTATCTGACAAGTTCTGTAATAAACAAGTTTGATACCTTTTTTGCCTCAGTTTCCTAATAAAGCAGAGGAGCTGAACTAGACAGTCTTTAATATGTCTTACAGTTCTGTGATTTAGTCATTTTCCTCCTACTGGAGAAGTAATTCTGGAAATGGGAAGAATAGGGAAACCAACAGAGTTATGAGATTATCACCTGGCAACATTTTGGATCATGGAGATGATTATTTGTTAGGGAGGGATCCTCCTTCCCCTTTTTTTATTTTTCCTATCTTCAGTTTTAGTCCTTATGTTCCCTGAGCCTTAAGTTCAAAGAAAAATACTCTTTTGTTGTGGATACAAAGGAATTGACATTCTCATAGACTGTTATGGTAATAAGAAAGTTGGCTTTTGTCTTAGATTTTTATTTTCAGCACACAGGTGAGAAGATTATGCAGGATTATTTATATCTTTCTCCTTTTTCATTCATGAGCATTGATTATAAATTCTTAGCACATATGTATGAGAATGTGCTTTATTTACAAGGAGTTAAGTGTGACACTTCCCAAATTCTGTTTATATTCCTTTTCCTCGAAAGCCTATTCTGGCTGTAAGATCCCAGTTTGTAGTCACGTTGTGGTGGTTTAGGATAAAAAACACTGGAGTAGAAATCAGAAGTTTGGGAATTTGTCCCAGTTCTGTCACTAACAACCATTATAACCTCAGACAATTCACTTCATATCTGTGGATGTAGTCTTCTCATTGGTAGAATGAGAAAGATTGGACTCAGTGATCTCTTAAGTTCTTTTCAACTTTAAATTTCAGTACTTTTATGATTTAGTCCTCATAGCAAGGTGCCTTTTGATATTGGCCTTAAGATCTATGAGGAAGCTGTTTATACCCCATTTTTTAAAGAAATTAAAATAAGATTTATTTTAAAAGCCACCATTATTGCTCACGTTCAGCATGCTACAAAAAGATGTTATTTCAAATGGCAACTGAAAAATAAAACTTGACAAATTTATCAGTGATCTCAGGTCAGTTCCCTTGATTTTCTATTTAGGGGAGAGTTCCATTGAATTTCTTGGTCTGTTAAAACCTAATAACTAGTGTGTCAATCAGCAAGTTTATTTACCGTCAGCTCTGTGCCCTAATGCTGTGCTTGGTTCTAAGCATTCCCTTCCTGCTGCTGCTTCCCCCCCCCCCCGCAATGGATTTTTCATGTGGGGCTCTACTGTGGGAATGTTGACTAATATATTCAGATTTTTTTTGTTGCCATTTTGTACGTTAACATCTCTCATCCAAGTAACAATATAGTATCTCCTTAATCTAACTGGTTATTCCACCTGCTGCTCCACCTTAATGAGAAGTTGGGAGCCAGCTTGCCTCCTCTTTACATCAGTTCATTCTCTGTACCATTGCTCTTCCATTACTCTTTTAATCATAAGACAGTTGAGCATTTATTAAATGCCTACTAAGTTCCAGGCTCTGTGTTAGGCTCTGAGGATACAAATAAAAGAAATGAAATAATCTCTCTTCAAAAGGAACATACATCCTAATCACAGTGAGAGATAGACAGATGAAGAGAGGGAGGGAGGCAGGAATACATACATACATACATGCATTCTTCTATATATGTGTTCCTTTCTCTGTATGGATGGATACACACATACAGAATAAAGAGAATAAATACAAGGAAGTACAAAGTAGTAGAACACAAGTTAGTTTGATGGGGATGCGGGTTAAGAAAGATTTCTTGTAGAAGTTGGTACATGAGGGGCTACAGTAGTTCAGAAGTAAGGAGGGAGTACATTGAAGGCATAGGCAGTGACCATGCAAAGGTGATGTATGAGGAGCAAAGATAAGGCCAGTTTGACTAGACCACAGAAGGCAAAAGGGCTAGTAATATCCCTTGAAGTTGGAAAAATAAGTTGGCTAGATTTGAATGGCCTAACAACTAAACAAAGGAGTTTATTTGAACATAGAAATGATAGAAAACCACAGGTAGCTTTTGAGTTAGGGGAGTGAGGTGCTTAAGGAAAACCACTTTGGCAGCAAGTGTGTAGAATGAACTAGAGTGGGAAGAGACTTGAAACTTTCAAGAAAATCATTTAAGGAGGCTGTTGAAATAATCTAGCTCAAAGGTAATGAGGGCCTTAGCTAAGCTAGTAGATATGTGACTAGAGGGAAGGGTTCATATTCTGTAGATGTTATAGAGGTAGAGAGAGCAAAATTTGACAACTAGTTAGGTATGAGTGAAAATGAGGAGTCCAGGAATATGCAGAGGTTACAAACTTGGGAGACTAGAAAAATGGTGATAATCTTTGCCAGAAATGGGGAAGTTTTGAAGAGGAAGGGAGGATTTGAGGGAAGAAGAATGCCTCCATTTTTGGATATGTTGAATTGTCTCTTGAACTTCTAGTTTTAAATGTCTAATAGGCAATTGGAGATTTGAGAATGAAGCTCAGAAAAAAGACTAGAGCTGGACATTTAGATTTGAGTTCATCAGGGGAAATATAGAGAAAAAAGAGGTGGTCCAAGACAGAGCCTTGGTGGGGACACTTGCATTTAAGGAGGAAGACAAAGATGAAGATCCAGCAAAGAATATTTTTCTCAAGTAAGAAGAGATATTGGGGGGGGGGTGTCTGACTGAGGTGAAGTGAGGAAGAGAGAGCTTTGGGAAAGTGTCATTTTTTCAATGAGTTGTGAGGTAAGGTCCTCAGCTAAGAAGGTAGGGAAAGAGAATGGCATGAGAGGCTTGAAGAGAGATGAGAAGATTTGGAACAGGTGCTGTAGTGAGTGGATTAGAGAATCAATTAGAGGGTCAGCTAGGTGGCTCAGTGGAGAGAGCTCTGGCCTTTCTTACTCCTTCCATATTCTGGCCTTGGAATCAGGAGGACCTGAGTTCAAATGTGGTTTCAGACACTTGACACTTACTAGCTGTGTGGCCCTGGGCAAGTCACTTAACCCTGATTGCCTCACAGTCAGCATGGTTGGATTTCCTCCATGAAGGAGGCAAATGGTAGGAGACAGTAGTCAGGTTTGGCAGTAGGAACAGGGGGCAGAAGGTTTAAGAGTAGAGTAGAGAATAGTGAAGAGATTGAGATTGAAAGAGAATGTAATCAGTACAAAGGTAATGTCGTAGGAAAATATTGAGAGAGGGTTTACAAATCTCCAAAAAGGTGAAGAACAAGGTTAAAGTTTAAAACACATAAGGATATAGAGAATGATAAAAGATTATAATCAGTTAAAAATATTTTTGAGTCATCAGTATGGGAGTGGAACATTTGTAAGTGGTGGAAAGATGAAGAGTATGGCTTGTGTGTAGCTTAGGTATAGTGTAGGGAGGTCAGGAAATTAAATATTTGTAGAAATTTTTTCCCCCTCTAACAGTAGCTATAGCCATTGTTGCCAACCTTTGCGAAAGATGGCTGCTATATATTGTCAGGAATGCTTTAATCACTAAATCTGACTGTATCTTGGATTGAACTACCTTATATAATCATATATACCCTCATCTCGATTTCACATTGTGTAACAAGGCAGAAAGAATTTATCATTGCTTTTTGATTTGGAGTCTTTATATTTTTTAATGTGAAGCTCTAAATATGAATTCTTAGTTTTAACTAAGGAAATTTTGCCAGACTTATCTAGTTTTACTTGATTTGGGAGGGAGAAAAGAGCCTAATCCTTAGATTATCTCGCATATCTTAGATTATTTTAGATAATCTCTCAGATTATCTCCATTTTATGACCCTGGATTCAAACCAACTCTTCTGATTAAATAGAGCCATCATTAAAAATTCTGTTCACTTTTGAGCAATTACTCACATTTTTGCCAGATGGGGGAACCATTTCTTTAGAGCTAAAAACAGCCCTAGAAATGGTCTAACCCCCTCATTTTGCAGATAAAGAAATTTAGGCACATTGAAGGTGAAGTGACTTGCCCAAGGTCATACCGTTAAGTAGCAAAGTCTGGATTTGAACTCAAGTCCCCTGACTTTACAGTCAAGACTCTTTGTAATTTACAGTTTTTACCATTTCTTTGGTGATTCTCTGGACTTAATTCCAGGCTGATTTCTGGCAGAACTGCCCTGAGAAGCCAACATAAATATCATAGAGAAAAGAAATTTTTTTGAAGTAACTACAAGAATAGCTTTTTAAAAAAATAGCCCTAGTTAATATTTATTTAAAGTAAATGGCAGATAGTTCATTGCATCTTTTTGTGGGTTGTGTTTCTTACAGCCTATTCTTTTTTCTCACTTAGCATGCTGACTTTTTGCTTGCCCTGCAAATGAATGAAGAACAGTATCAAAAGGTAATTGCCTTAAGTATCATCTTTTTAATTAATTATCTCTTTATTTGCTTGTTTATTTGGGGGTGTCCCTCTTGTCAGATTTCCTAGCATTTTCGTGGCCAACTATTTTAACAAAGTATTCATTTTTTTCTATTTTAACATGCCCCATTCTACTGAGTTGAGAGACTAAGCCAGATTCCCCAACCAGATTAACCTATAATTGGGAAATATTGAACAAAATAAATAAAAGCACAGTACAGCATAGACAATGTTAATTTGTCATTTTCTAAGTCGATATACACTGGCAGGAATTCCTTTCTATTTGAGTTTGATACAACTGGTCTAAGCTTGGCCACACTTAGAAATTGCTCTAATTCTTGATTTGTACCAGATTCAAACCAACACTGGAAGAAGGAAAATGAACCTAAGAGACCAATTAATTGGATTAGCTGCTTGGGGGCTCCTGTTGAAGGAGCCTTTTTTTTTTTTAAGGCAGTTGTGGTTAAGTGACTTGCCTAGAGTCGCACAGCTAGTGAAGGAACCTTTTCAATATTTAAGTGTTAATTTCACTTCTTGGGGGGAAAAGGGTGAAATATATTTTGGCCTAAATTTAGTTTTTTTTTCAATCTTCAAAAGTCTAATAAGTAATGGAGCTGCAAACTTTCACTATGCCCTAACTGGTTTGATCTCAGGCAGGGTATAACACTGCCCTCCTGTTCCAAGTTTTGCAGGTTCCCCAACCAGGTTTGGGTCTGGGCAACGTAACTTCAAGTGTTTGCCCCTGGTTCTAGTTCTGGTAGACAATGGCTAGCCCTACCTTGTGTACTGTGCCTGCATCCAACATCCCATCCTAGCAACAAACTTTGTAGGCTTGCCTGTTGTCTGAACTCTACAGTCCTTGCCCTTGTTACTTACTTGCAGGTCCCAGTCCTGTTCTATATGCTGAAACCATGATTTAGAGTTGTGGACAGAGTGACAGAGCTGTAGGCCCACCCCTGGTCTCAGTCCTTAACCTGATTGCTTGTCTGAGCTGAATGTATCAGCTTGGCTTGGGAGACACTGTGGTGTCTCGTTGGATTTTCTGATTACTACACAGCCTGGTACTCTTCCTCAATCCTTGTGGGAGTAGTTGTGAGAGAGAACTGGGCTGGACTGTTTTGTCCTTCATCTCTGCCAGTCACAAATCTCCATAAAACTTGGAACAAGGTTCCTAACTGCTGTACTGTTATAAGCCGAATATAATTTGAGAAAGGAGCTTTGGGATGCCATTTGTTGAGCCACTTTGATCATGATATCTAGGCCTCATGGTTTAGTGGGTAGAAGCCTGGATCTGAAGCCAAGAAGACTTGGCCACATCTAACCTTTGACACTTACTGGCTGTATGCTTCTATTTCCATTCCCCACAGTAATAAAGTATAAGTCTTTTGAAGTTAGGAACCACTTTTGTTTCCCCAGCACCCTGCACATCACCTTGTATATAATAGGTATTGAAAAAATGTTTCTTGAATTGATTTTTGCATGCCAAGAACTATTGAAAGTAATTTAAAAATGTCACTTCAAGTAGCTATAGCAGCCAGACAAACTGAGAATGGTATGAATATCTCAGTGAATTAATAATACCTTTTGTTTTCTGACTTCTTTAGTTGACATTCAATAAGATATTTGCATTGGGCATTGGGGTGCTGTATGGCTACCCTTGCTGCTTAAGATCAGGAAATAGGTTATCTAATTTCTGCTTATGGATTGTAGGATGGTCAGATGATAGAATGCCGTTGCTGTTATGGAGAATTTGCATTTGAGGAGCTGACTCAGTGTGTTGATGGTCACTTATTCTGCAAGGAGTGCCTAATCAAATATGCCCAAGAGGCAGTCTTTGGCTCAGGAAAGGTAAGAAGTGCTGAAGTATTCTCAGAACCAATGGATAATTTAAAGTGAGTCCAAGTAACTAGCAAGTCAGGACACAATGATTCAATGCCTTTTACCCATGCCCTTTCTGGGACAAAGTGTCATTCTTAGAAGAGGTAATAAACAGTAGTGCTTCTGAACTTGCCTCAGACCCTGTATCTGCAAGGCTCTTGGTCCTTAGAGAAAGCGAAAATTTATTTTCAAGCAACAGGATCCTTCTGCACAGGACCAGTCCTCTAAAACTCACTGCCCAGAAGATTCCACCTTGTCCTTTTTGGTGCAAGATGAGTGCCTCTCAAGAGAACTTTACAAACTGTTAACATTTTCTGCTTATGTGCATGGAAAGTGGAAACATGGAAATTCATTGATGTTTATTCTGTAGGTGTTCTCCAAATATTTTTGGTTGGATTAAGATGCACGACTGCTTTGTGCAGCATCTTATTTTGTGTTCAACTCCGATTCATGTGTTTGAGCATAGAATGGGAAAGGGTGTTGGGTTTTTTGTTACTGGTTTTGTTTTTTGGGGGGTTTTTTGTTGTTTTCTTTTAGTGAGGCAACTGGGTTTAAGTGACTTGCCCAGTCACATAGCTAGGAAGTATTAGTGTCTGAGGTCACATTTGAACTCAGGTCCTCCTGACTCCAGGGCCAGCACTCTATCCACTGTGCCACCTAGCTGCCTCTCAGTTTTGTTTTGTTTTTTAAGTCATATTAAGAACCAGAGCAAATTATGTTTGAGTACAAGCTTGTTTATACAAAGGCTCATCATCACTGTTGTGGGTTATTTAGACCCTTTGCTTTTCCCCTTTACTGCTGCTTCCTGTTTGACTATTTTACTCTTTTTTTTGTTTTTAAATACCATTGCTAGGGATCAGGTGGGAGAAACAAAAGGAGGTGAAATGTAGACCAATAAAATTTTATAAGATTTTGGGGAAGGAGAAGTTGAAACACCAAATGAATGTGTTACAGAAATGTCTATGAATTTCATTAATTCTCTCCTTGTTAAAACTAACTACATAGTCATTCATTGATCAATACCAGCCTGCATGTTCTTATGTTTTATAAATTTAAATGTCACTTGAGAGGTTAAGACTCTCTTTGGCATAAAAATATTCCTTTGTCTCATTGAAAGTCTTCCCCATGGTTTTGTCTACTCTTGATTACTTCCCTGTGCTCAGGGTTGCTGATATGATAGTACTGCCTCTCTCTGAGCTTGGCCAGTGACCTCCTCGAGTCTCAGGTTGATTCCTACTACTTATTGTCCTTGTCCACCATCAGATACTTGTTAGTTGCATTTAGGGATGTTATTTGTGTTGGCAGCTGTGGTACAGTGGGAAGAGCATTGGATTTGGAATCAGAAAACCTGGGTTTGTATCTCAGCTCTGCCACTTCCTGTTTGTGGGACTTTGCCTCTTAGCCTCTCAGAGCTTCGTGGAGCAGGTGTACAGTGAGGATAATGTTGCCTCACTGGGTGATGAGGATCAAATAAATAAATGTATATGACATATTTAGTAAACTGCAAAATGAAGTGCAAATGTCAGCTATTGTTTTAAGATGGATATCCTGATTGAAGATATAACTGAGTGATTGATGCTAAGTATTCCGAACAAGTTCCTTAATTTTTCCTTATAGTCAGAGCTCAGCTGTATGGAAGCCAGCTGCACATGTTCGTTCCCAACCAGTGAGCTGGAGAAGGTGTTGCCAGAAACCATCCTGCGAAAGTACTATGAGCGAAAAGCTGAAGAAGAAGTAGCCGCAGCCTGTGCAGATGAACTGGTTAGGTGAGTTCATACAGAGTCCATTGGGTTTAATCTGGGAAACAAGATGGCCATTGCTTTGCCAGCATGATACCTAACTGGGCATTAGTTGCTTTTTATTTTGCTTCCCCAACATTTCACTATCTCATAGCTGAGGAGCAGAGGCATCAGGAGCTAACCTGCCTGTCTGACCCTCCAGCCTTTGCCCTGGCTGGCTCCTGGGCTCAGAGTGCATGCCCTCCACCCCTCTGCCTCTTCGTTTAAGGTTCAGTTTATTTTTTCCTCTTCTTTAGAAAGCTTTCTTTGAAGTTAGTGCTTGCTCTTTCAGCCTCCAGTGATCTCTTTTACTTACACACACACACACACACACACACACACACACACACACACTCACTCTCCCCCCCTTTTCCTCCCTCTCTCCAGATACACATGTGAGTATGTGTATATGCATATATAGAGATAAATAATATAGAGATGTATGGATAAATATATAGATATATAAGATATAGCCTGTTTATTTGTTAAATTCCCCAGTAATATGTAAACTCTGGAGGTCAGAGTCTTTTTCATTTTGTCTTTACATCTCCAGCACTTAGCACAGGGCCATGAAGTTTAATTATTTATTGGATCACACTGGATAAGAAACAAAGGATAACAAGTGATAGAGCATGTGGACTATGTATATGTCTGTAATCATTTTGTTTAGCACCCTGACTTTATGAGTATTTATGAAGCTAAATCAAACTCTGTTTATCAAATAAATATAAATTCAGAGCACATATTCATTATGATCCTTTGGACTTCAGGTGTCCCTTCTGTAACTTCCCAGCTCTTTTGGACAGTGAAGTGAAGTGGTTCAGTTGTCCCAATCCTCGTTGCAGAAAGGTAAGGGAACTGTGATTTTTTTCTAAAAATATAACCATATTAACACAAGGTGATTGTCTACCATCCTGACCCTTTGTGATTGATTGTCTGGTGAGCAGATACAAAAGAAATTGCAGTCCTTTTCAGTACACTAAGAATTGTATTTTGTAAAAGTTAGCTGAGCTTTGGAGCCATGTGGAGCATTTCACCCATAAAGCAGTAAGATTTTGCTTCTGTTGTAAATGCTGACACTATAATGTCAAATCTGCAGGTTTTAGTTACTTTTGTTTTTCTGTTTCAAGAAAAGCATTCTGCCGTAGTGATAGCATTTATCTCTTCCTTGTTTCAGAGCCCAGATGATAGCTCTAGTTTTCACAAACTCTTGGGAAAATTTATTCATTCTTGGCATCAAGAAGCTGGTGATGATTGTCATGAAATTTTTATTGCTTTCTGTAGATTGTTAGCTTTAAAGTCTAGCCACAGCTTTTGAAAAACTTGAGTAAAATTAATTTATTGGATGAGAAGTGAACAAGCTATTCATCTCTCACAATCTTTTTCTCTGCCTTACTTTCCAGCCTGTCATGTTAATTAAAGATATCCAAAGAATTCTTAAGAAAATCATATGAAATTTTACTAGGACTTGCTTCATATGACTTTGTGTAGGTTATAGCTTGGTTCTTGGTCTAGTTGGGAGAACTGTAGCCATAAAAACTTGTAAGTCAGTGAGGTAGAACAATTAAGCTTGTCTGTTCTGTTTTAAGTAGTTGTATGCCCAAATATATTCTCATCTGAACTGGAATTTTTAGATTAAGGAGAATGCTTCATAAGGATTTGAAATGGGGATGTATACTTTTATATAGAGAGAGATTAATCACCAATATTTGTAATTCATTATGTTCCTTTCCTCTCTTTTTGGCACATTCCTTCTATGGCTAATTTTTTAATTAGCTAGATTATTAGATGGTTTGAATTATATAACCACTCAATTGTTCATGAATACTATGACATTCATTATTTTGTTTCCAGTATTATATTCTAAAATAATATGTTCAGAGGTAGATATAATAATCTGTCTTCCCTGAAAAACTTACAGTTCAGATTTTTTTGAAAATCCGCCATTTATAATTGCTAAGTTTGGGTGGATAAACTGATGGAAGGAACTGATTGAAGGTTATTTGACTTAACTCATACTTATTTGGGAGCATAATGGGAGTGACAGTACCCCACTAGGTGGCAGTAGCACTCCATGTCTTAAAGTATTTTCTGTTTTGTTTCGTTATTGGGCATTTTTTAAGTATTCGTGTCATCAAAACACTGGCATGTAAGCAGAATTGACAAAATCCTTTGGGCATAACACTAAAACAAGTAGTTATGTGCATTTAGAATTTTACATCAAAGATGTCAACATTCACATGGCATATGTTTTTACCTTCCTTTTACGTGGCATAAATTTTGCATGACATGTTCTTCAGCAAGATGTTTAGGCCAACTGTTAATCCTTGAGGATTTATAATGTTTCAGAAATGATCCCCAAACTGATTTTGCATATATAAGATTGGCTATCATTTTTTTTTCTCGAGGAAGTACTCTTTTGCCAGATTTCTAGTAACTTGTCAATGTATGATGAGGAGCTTTTATTAATGCATTAATCAGAAGAGGGTCTGAATGATTAAGAGATAAGACAAGAGTCTTTGTTTCCTGCCTGTGATGGAATGCTTTTGTCAGGATTCTGAGATCCCTTGTGTGCTTTGAGATAAAGAATTCATCAGTTCCTTTTTTACTAAGATTCTGCTTTTTGAGAGGGATTAAATGGGGTAAGATGTGACTGCTGGGGTTGTTAGGAGGTTTGAAGGTGATGCCTCTGGCAACTGAGAAAAAATTCTCAAGTTAGAAATTATTCCTGTTAAGTCTTTCTTCCTAAAGGGACTGTGACTTTAATATGTAAACTCAGAGATGATGTTGGTAGAATTTGGGGGGAGGTGAGCTGGGGTAAAAGCTTAAAGGGTAATGAAACAAGTGCATGAGGAAGAATATTCAAGGGTAGATATTTTAAGCAGAACAATTGTGAAGTTTCATTTGAGACGTGGACGTTTTGATATAAGCACACATTCTATCCTGTTACCATTTATATTCATATTTGTTTACTTTCTCTCCCCTACTCTTCACGCCTTATTTCCCCACTCTATCCTTTCTAAGATATCTTGATGTATCTTCCCCAACAACAGTTGAAATGTAACTGATATTAACATCTGCAGTAAGCAGATCTGTGTTGAAAGAAAGGCATCTCCAGCAGCCTACAGTAACTGAATGGACTCGTGAAGAGCATTTAAATGAATCTGCACCAGCTGCCAGTGCCAGTTTGGCTCCAGCTGTGTTAACTGAAGTTTGGAACTCATTTGAGGCCTAGCCAATCAACTGACTGCCATAAAAAGCACATATCTTTACATTTACAAAGATGCATTAGGATTATGATCCTTTTGTTTACCACTATGTTAGGGCCATTGTACAGGTCAACCATTGCATCCATTTGCATCCTAGCCTCCCGAGCCCTGGGTAGTAGAGGTTATACCACCTTACTTTTGTATAGGGAAAGACTATTGTCTCCTTTAATCAGATGATGGCACACTTAGAGGAGCAAATTTCCAGTGTTAAAAAAATTCTAGCAAACAACAAAAGAATTAGGGCAGTCATTTGGAGGCATAATGAAATTTGATCTATATAATGCAGGTCTGTATAAGATGGAAGAGATTGCCACCTCTTAAGTGAGAATCATGGAGGTCTGCTGTTAAGGTTAAAGCCCCTCACATTACAAATGTCTTCCCATTGCATCTTAAACTATGCCATAAGGGTTCCTCTGCAGTGTTTCCCCCAGGTTTCTCTTTCAAATTCTCATCAAGAGGAATTGTGATTATATCACAGAATTTTACCTCAAAGCTTTAAGGATTGTACTCAGTGGAATATGTCTTTGTTTTTCAGTCTCTCTTATTGACTCCCTTTATCAATTCCAGCTTTTTTTTTGTTCTCATATTAAAAAGTACAACCAATCTATTTGTCTTTACACAGGCTTTTATCCCATTGGAGGATTTTGGTTTATTATCCCTCTGATAAAAATATACCATATTAGATGTTGTAGGTATAATTTGGGAGGTTGAAAAATCTTCTATTTTAAGAACAATAGCACAAGAAATACTGGTAAACCTTTGTTTTTGTGTCCTTTAAAACATACATATCTGTTAGAAAAAATGAAACACTGCATTTGATGTTTTGGGTTTGATTGATTGTGTTGTATTGCAGCTTTTTTGAACGTGTTAACCCTCCTTATTAAATTCTCAAGGGCAGGCACCATGTCTTATTCACCTTTGTATCTCATAGCACCTAGCACAATGTTGTACTTCTTTTTTTTTTTTGCCCTACCCAGATGTGAATGGGGGCCAGAAGACTCAGTAGGTACAATCACTTAATGGAGTCCTTTCTCTCCCCCAATTCAGCTCCCACTATTCCAGGGCAGATGATGATTCCCCAGCCCTACCTGGGAGGCAGTGAACAGAGACCTCATTCCCCCCCTTTTTGAAAAATCATGCTGATCTTGAAACAGTGCCTGTGTTCAAATCCCACCTCTGACACATACTGGCTCTGTGCCCCCAGGAAAATCACTTAACCTCTCAATGTTCCAGGTCACCCTCTAAGACTAAAACCTTACAGAGAAGGTACTAACTTAAATTGGTAGAGAGAGTTTCTCCAGCTGTCCATGCTAAGAAAATCACAGATCTAGTCTTTATCCTGTCTTTTGAGATAGCTTAGAAGTAAATGTTCAGTTGTATGGTTCAAACTAAAATTCTAGAACAGTTCCAGGACAGAAAAGAGCAGATATTGACATTTTTGAAGTTCCTTCAAAAGGAGCTGCATCATTACCTTAAAGTGTTAATCTACCCAAGAGAGCCCTTCAGGAAGGAAAAAAGGTTACTCATTAGTAACCTTGGTTCTTGGATCTAAAGATCAGTCAACATTGACCATCCAACCTTCTGTACTTTAAGAGGGAAAAGATTTTTTTTTTTGAGAAGTGACAACTCATTTGCCCTTAGAGAATAGTAATGGAGTATGGGCATCTAACTATAGGGAACTTGAACAATTTTAATTTGAATGGTTCCTAACTTTTCCAAACACATGGAATTGTTCTGGGAGACCTTGGGGAGGTAACAAGTAAATCTGTTTCTTGTTCTTACTTTCCCATCCTTCAGCTCCTATTACTTTTTGCTTGTCCCCTTTAGAAATGAATTAATGAAACATACTGGTGATCCTCATTCTCCATTGCTGCTTTGCTTTGTTGTGACCTTCTCCTATCACCACCCATGTAGGGTTAAGGGACCTGGAAAATAATATTCAAAATTTGGATCCAGTAGAGTGTGTGGTAAATCTTACAAGAAACTCAGCATGAATCATGACATAATGGTAAAATTCCAGATTTATTGCTGTGAATCATTTGTGATTTGAAGAGGGCTAGGGATGATATTTGAGAGCAGTTTCAGCTGTCTCTGGGCATGAGTACCTCCTTTCTCCCTCCAGAGTCCAGCTTCACACTTTGCCTGCTGCCTTTTATTGTCAATAAGAACTCTAAAAGCTGATGCCTTATTAACAGCGATCATACCTCTCCACTCTATTCTATCTGCTTTTAGAACTCACATAGAATACTTAAAGGAAGTACCTCTTTGTGGGCTTTAGAAGAGGCTTATGTGAGCACTTTATTAAAATAGAAACTCCCACCCCTAGCAGCCAGAGTTTTCTGACCATTGCTTGGCCTCTGTCAGGCCCATCCCTGATTGATCCTGTACACAGACTATATTTCTGTGAAACGGTTGAGTGGGTCATTTATGGAGCCATATAGCCATGGCCAGGATATTTTGAGAATGCCAGTGTTTCTCAAAACCATGTATCCTTTGGTTAGTTTCCATTTTTTCTACTGCACTGTATATTATTAAAGTAATTTAATATTGTCTTTTTGTATTGGCATGCACCAGTTTTCC